TCACACCAAACCTTCAGGGACCAACTTGGAGATGCGAAACAGTGGTCCAAATGCTCCTTCCCGTCCTCGCTCAGCCTTCAATCTGTACATGCAGTATCGCTTAAGCCATGATGAGGATCTTGTTGCTCGTCCCTTCATAGAGCGTCGACGTTTAATTGGGGGGGAATGGTCTGCAATGTCTCAACAACAAAAACAAATTTATCGCGATCAAGCAATTTGTGAGCGTGAAAAGTATCTCAAAGAATTTGATGAGTACAAGAAAACTGACGAGTACAAAGAATGGATAGCCAAGCAGGAAATTAGTCAATCTTTGAAGCGTGGAAAAAAAACTACGGGTAAACACAATGTCGAAGATGGCTTGGGGGACGGTGTTTCTTCGAAATTCCGTCGAGTTCCGATATTTACTCAGGAGTTTCTTGAATATAATCGCCAGAGGGAGATGTCACTGCGCCACCTTCGTAAGCAGGCACGCTCTCTACTGCCCTTAGTGACTTGCACTAATCTTGCGTACGGTTAGATAATTTCCTGTCTTACGTTTTAACTATTCGCAACTCGAACGCTGCCGTTAGTTTTAAAAATATAAAGTGTCTCGCGGTATGGTTTCGGCTAGCTTGGCCAAAAGCCTCCCAATCACCTTTTTCGCTAAATGGCTTGCAGCAGTTGCCATTTTCATCAATGATCTTCATTGGTCTTTCGTTCTCTTGAACATACATTTATGTGTTTCGCTGACAATTATTAGCCCCCGCATGTTTTCCCCAATTTATTTGAATACCTGCACGCATATGCGCAACATTGGCAGCCCAGTCCTCGGGTGAATAAGTGGTTGCTATCTCCTTTTTTTGTTGTCACCTCTCCTTACATCGGATTTTAATTTAAGGTTACTAAATTGGACGAAGAAACTGCTCTACTAAGCAAACATGTCGAGAATCTCGCTAACGCTGGAAACAACTTAGAGCAGCAGATAAAGGCAGCAGAGGCTCAGCTGTCTTTGGAGGAGGCTGTTGTACAGAAGTTCTGTAAAGAGCTAGTGACCACATTTGCAGACGTAAGTTCCTTGCGCTTCCCAGCACAAGTCTGAGTCTTCGAACCTAGTCCCATTTTTTCTTTGCAGCTCCCAGTCCCTACTTTGGATAAATCGACTCGATCGCCTTCGAAGGGCTCTGAGAGAATTACCCTCAGCAGTGTTGACTCATACCTTTCGAGACTGGCTGAGCTCTCCTCCTCTGGTAACCACGAAACGCTAAGAACTACTGCGGTGGAATTCCTGCGGGCTGCGATTCGGTCGAAGAAACTGACAATGTGTTCTACATAAACTCATCTTAAAATTTTTACGCCTACTTCTATGGTGACATTATGGTGTTTTGCAAAAGTAGATTTCTTCAACCGAATTAGACATGAAGAAATTTGACGGCACGGTCGTTGGGGTCGTAGTGAAGATTGCAGAACAAACTACGATGTAGTGCCCATTAAGAATCGACAATTGCTGTCCCTTCACGCACAATATACACGATATGATAAAGCTTATGTAATCTGGGGTTGGTATCTACTTCAAGTAATATAGCTAGATAAGAGCGAATACATTGTAAGCCAAGGTGATAGCAGGTGACTTGTATATACACCGAAGGCGAGATCAATCAAGAAATAAGAAAACCAAAGACATAGGGGCAACACCACAGTCGGTGGGTGTTCAGAGGATGAAGACGCGTTTTGCTTCACCCGCTCCGAAAGTCTCTCCTGAACGGGGGCACGTCACCTTCCCATCAGGACCGGTCAAATCCATGATTGCCTGAATAGAAAAGGTGCCATTTCGAGGCTGTCCGTAGTTGTCTTAATAAGTAGTTTTTAAACGTGGGTATTAGGTCGCAATTAGTAGAAGTTCTATGCTACAGTAGATTAATAACACGTGGACTTCAAAAAAAGGCCAGCGGAGCCGACGTAGGAAGTTTTAAAAACTGGTTTTTAAAGGTGCAGAACACCTGCGTTTGGACGGCATATAATTATTTAAGAAAATATCGACCTGCTCATGTTGTATGGGAAACGTGACTGAGGCGTTACAGGCCTGTGCTAAGTACGTAGTTTATGCGAAGGACGTTTACATATTATAAATATGATACACATTGCTCAAGTTTTATTTGCACGTCAGTATATTCTTAGAATATGTCAGTCAAACTGATTTTTAACACACATAAAAACATGAAGGATAGTATTGAGTTCGCCACCACAAACAATGCAAATTCTTAGCCTAATGATTAGACTACGTATCTATCTATGGCGTACTTACTCGTTGACTATAGACATATCCATTTGGAAGGGCCATCGGCGGATTGTCATCGTTCATCAGAAGACCAGTTTGGTAACACGTGAGAACAGAGTGGTCGTGACGGCCAAAGAGCAGATTCTGGGCCAGACGGTTAATCAGAGGGTGGCACACCACGCAATCCGGATGACGCGATTTGGCGCTGTAGCAAAAGCTGCAGAGGAAGAGAGGAATTGGCTTACTCATTCGCTTGGAGTTCAAGACTGATTCACGTTCTTATTTACGACAGCAAGCGCGTGCTTTATTGGGAGAGGGGAATGCGATGTCCAAAATGCCGTTTTCCGAGACTAACTTGCCCGTGAAGGTCCAACTACGTCTGGAAATCAGTGTTTTGCTTAAAAATACTTTATGGGTACATGCACTGCGAGGACAGCAATCCGAAACCAATATTAATTTGTCGTAACACTTCATCAAGCCTATCTGTGCCGAGAAGGTATCACGAAACAGTTGTCGCCATGACGTTCCCGACCACTACGAATTCATGCAGAGCATTTGCAGCGGACAGTTACCGTGTTGAATCCATGCCTTTAGCTAGTGCCGTCAAATGGAATATCCTACTTCTTCCAATAATTTTTAAACCTAGGAACCGCCTATTTTCTGATTCCGCAGTAATTTATCAGCTTGAACAGTGACTTGTGTGGTTCATGCTTCATAACTACAACACACCCACTTTCAAGGGGCTTTTTGCGTGGCACAGGCGCTTGGGTTCAGGTATTTAGGAGCCCTATGACGAATGTCGAATTGAGTGCGGGCCATGAACACCTCTGGGCGTGAAAGGGCTGTCGCGACACCATGTGCAAAGTGAAGCACTCACTGAGTCTTGATGGCGGTTATGCCCGCGCGAACGGCCAACGAGAAGGGCGTGGGCAGGGTGAAGGAGTAGAAGCTCATCAGGGCCAGGTGGAAGCGCTTGATGATCCATGATTCATTCAACTCATTTTGGGCCTAGATGAACCAGACAAAATGCCTACTAAGCAACTACTTGAGTTTTCAAGGACTTGCTGGGATATTTTCAAAGTAAGTTGGTATGTGATCAGTGACTCTGTAGCCGAATCGATCGCACGGTCACTGGATCAAAATCACAGTGTCATAGCGTTACTTTCATCCCCGACATCTTGTTAAGAATGCGGAAATCTAATAATTTAAAAACAGTGCAAAAGGGGGGCCAGATGGTAATGCGCCATAGCAGAGGTCTAGGCGTCAGAGATCTCCAGCCACGATGAGCTTAGTTGAAGGGGAGCGCCGACATATCTGCTTTTGTGGCCGTCGTCTGCCCGTTGCGCGTGTCCGTCTTGTCCGCATTGCACTTGCAACGCACGGTGTAGCTCTGGACTGGCCTCGCTTGATTGATCTGCGCATAGCTAAGGCTAGGAACGATGCCACAGAAAAAAAGTACTTTCACGAGAACTTGGCCTGACATTTTAATGCCGAAGTAACAGGTAATGCTTACTTAAAATAATTTGCAAATTTAGTCGAAATTTAAGGACGAATTGGCTTGAAACGTTGAACTCTCAAACTCACAGCTTTAGAGTCGACCTCTTCAGGGGTGCGCATCATCAGGAGCAGCATCGCCTGTCCGAGACGTCGAGCTTTGTAATCGTCGCCCTCCTGGAAGTTGCTCAAATGCTTTCTTGAATGTCTACAATGAAAGCGCATATCTCAAAACGCAAGAAATTGTGATTTGTACTGTGATTAATACATTAAAAGAAATAAGTGACATTTTAAACCTCACTTCACACTTGCACAAGAAATCATCGCGCATCACTACCGTGTTCACAAGTGCCAACGGGCATAGGAATTTTCCCACACAAGCACCACTGCATTCTTACTGACAGCACAATCGGACTGTTAAAATTAGTGCATGATAGCCCTGGCGATCAATTAAAATATCAGCAGGAGATTAAGTTCATTTCAACGAGGCTCCTCGAACCCCTAGTGCTGGACAACACTCAGCTGACCATAAGTGTTCGGAAAGAGCCAGCGCAATCATGAGACCGCATTCAGAGTACAATAAGTGTTGCTGAGATTGTCAGTGTGTGCATTATGCGCAATTGGCGATCCCATGTAAGCGTGCATGAGAGCTTTCTCGCCTTCAACACTTCCACGTAACAATTTTACTAAGCTGATGTATCATGCCATATTTGGGGAAATATTTTATCCTATTCGTTTTTAATATGCGTAGCAATAAAGTGATTCCATAATAGCGTTGAGAAAAGCGGTTAGCAATGTCAATTTCGAGAGATTCGCTACTTAGCCCTCCTTGGTCTTCGGCGACAACGAAAAAATCATCTTGTGTAAAGATAGAAGAATGAAGAAGGAGGCAGAAGAAAAATCTACCCACATTCCGACCAATCGTCTGGTGACAACTTGGAAAAATTGGGTTAGACAAGCGGACAGCGAGCCCAGATCCCATTCAAACTCAACGATACAAAAGGGACAGTGGAATCTCGATACCCATTATACTGACCTAACCGAATAAGACCAAATCATCCTTATGAGAGACAAAGACAACGGGTCACGTGTGATAAAAGTGGGTCGCAAAAGGCGATGGATTGACAAAATCGACGGAATACAAAATATTGATGTGGGAACAGTGATCGGGAGAAGGATTTATTCATTTTAGGTGGCTACCATCAGCAGTAATTGCTACCACTGGTAAATAAGCACAGAACTATGCAAAACAGATTTCACTACAATATCTAAGATAACTGCCGCGGGATTTGTGAATAGAAAAACAAGCATTAACAAAACTTCTGTTAAATAATTAATAAAAACCCCTACAGCGACCAAGAAACATTGGTGTAAAACTGAATAAAGTTCGACGATGGGATGAGGAAGCTTAAACGACTCGTGAACAGAACCACCGATTTGAACTACTGCGAATTAATTATCAGTTGATGATCGCGCAAAAATAAGGCCTAGTGCACTAGCACAAATCACCCATTACTTTTCACCATGTTAGCGGAGTTCTGCCCACATGCATGAAGTTCTGCCCTATTTTAGACAAGTGTTCACGAGACAGTTCGACGAATGACTACTTCTCACTCATATTCCAATGGGGCAATATAACCAGGCGTGTCGACGCCAACAGAATTTCGCAAGATGCCTATTTGCTCGAATCAGATGGAAGATGCATCTCGGCTAACATGAGCACCGACAAGAAGACGGATCCAGCAACAGCAGTGAACAAAGGTCTTGCTCATCAAGCAGACAAGTAAGCCATCTGTCAAAATTTGGTCGAGGATTCGCAAATCCCTACGCATGCCTCCGAGAGGCATTTACTCTTCAGAAACATGAAGCAGCATATTAGTTTATTTTGATGAGCCAAAATTCCCCACCGAAATCCACCTGGATAGCATGCACGTTGATGTATTCCTAGTGAAATAGTTCAGGTTGCCTTTACTATTTAAATTTGCCGCAGTGGCTTCGGGATTGACCTAATTCCATGCTCAAGGCAAATCGAATTCCGTTTGGTTCAAGGTCACAGAATCTACACTAGTACGGACCTCAGTTGCCAGTTATGTACTTTTGTCCTTTAGATTAGTAAAAAAATACTCAGATAGCAAAGAAAAAGCATCACCCCTACCTGTGTCTACCTCGGAACAGTTAATGTTCGCAAAATCTACGTACTACAACAGCATTATGTGTGAGCTTCGATTCATTGTGTCCTTTTACTAGATAGTGAGCCAACTCGAGCTGTTGAATAGGAGGCTTACAAATGTCCTTCGTGTACAATAAACCGATGAAAGCTAATAAGACAATGGAACAATATGTTCGTCAAAGTGAATGGTCCATGCGCTAGGTGATTAACACAGGAATTCAGAGAAACATGACATCTTAAAGATAATGGAATGCAACGTCGAATTCGGCAAACTGCAAATTTTTCTAGAAACAGGTTTTGGCCTCCAGAAAACGAAGCCATACCCCGAAATTGTGGGACTGAAGGGCCAGGAAACTGCTGGTTACAATGGCAAGCAACAACTTCGATTTAAGCCAAAACATTACATAGGTTATTTTGTTAACGGCGCTTAGAGGTGTGATATAAGAGGAAAAACTGCCCCTGCTGCATCGCGTAATTTATGATTCTCGTGGAATGTGCAGTGCACGTGTACATCTAGATGGAAACTAAAACTTATGGTGGTGATGAAGAAGCTTGAACGACAATCCAAAGCAGTATCATCCCTGACACCCTCGTGTCTGGTGGAGAAAACGGGGAAACTCGGAGTAATCCTTTTACCCATGACGTCAATAAGTTACGCAACGTAAAACCTTATGGGCGGCAAATAGAGAAGCCAATTCTAAAGGTGTCAAGAGAAACCACTTTGGCCAGCATACAGCGTTTTTGAGCGCACGAATGGTATCCGAACTGCGTTTTCCAAGGTTGTAAGTAAAGAACCAAGGAATCACAAAACTAGGATTTCCGAATTCCAGCTGCTAGCCATACACGAACCCAGTAAAAAGGTCAGTCGAAGAACATGACAAAGAAATCCAACTAAAAGTCCTAATATTACCAAACGCGAGTGTGACTTTACGTGCAATGAAAGCCACTACGTACTGAACAGCTTCCATGTGGCGACCATCCTTCACGAGGAGGTAGAATTCAAAGACTCTCAGGTCGAATTCGAAGGAACACTAAAAGGGCATAAAGTAGGCAAGTAGGATTAGGGAGAACTTCATAAGGCTCCCTATTTGACTTTTCGAAATGACACCCCAAGTTAAATTATGCCAAATAAATGAGGTGGCAGGGCAATTTTGTCACTGAGGACGCTCACTTATGCTGTAACACAGGGTTTACTGGTAATAGTGAGTTAACACGAAATATGTCACTTATTTCAACGTTATTGGGGCCGCCCCAATAAAACCGAGCCAGAATGTGAACTACTGATCCATTATAACATGCGCGATAGGCTGCGAGCGGTTACGGACTTTCTTGGCAACATCGAAAGCCCAACCACCAAACACCCGTCTAACTGAATAAACCTGGAGCTTAGGGATCTATTTTAGTGTAAATTGTCCAACGGGTTAAATTATGGTGCAAAATCATTTCACGGCACAATAGTTCACAAAAACGTTCATCAAGTACTATAACTAGAAGAGGCGAATCGAAACGGCTCGAGGCATTGTTAAACCAGGAAGGTAATTACGGTCCTAAATGGCTATAAAGCAGTTTTAAAAATAGTCAACTAGGAGACGTTAGTTACAATATAATTTGGTGGGAGTGAGCTGTGCCAATGCAGTCATCGAACAGTGCAGCCTAACACCCCTCTCCAAACAGACTGTCGATTTCCTGTCAACAAGAAATGCGTTTATTTACACAAAACCTATGACAAGGCTGACCAATAGGACATCAACAGCAAAATGGCAAAAAACAGTGGGGGCAAATAGTGCAATATCAGCGTGAAACATGTAGTTAAAATGAACACAAGCGAACCCATAACTGTACAAGGATAATAAATTTCCCCGTGTAATGTGTTTAGGACAACAACTGCGTTGCTACAACACATGGGAAAGCAGGAGGCGGCGTGTATAGTAAGCGAGAAGCGAATCAAGAGAATTTCGTTTGGTGACCAGCACCCGCACTTCCGGTCGGGTAATACATTTTGAGGCTTCAAGAGTACTCTTGGTGTTGTGCTTGCGGAAGGATGTTTGTTTAATAAATTTGGGTGCACAAAACCACAATAAGTTTTGGCAAAATCTGTGAGACAGGCTAGCAATATGAAAAGAGGTGATAAGTCCTTAACAGAAAGAGGTAATATGAATAAAGTAATTGATCGAAATGAGTAAAATCTGTCGAACCATTGAAATACAACTCTCCAAAATTTGACTTCGTGACCACAAACGTTGTCAGGCACAGACAGAAAAGCGATGGTTTTGTGCACTACGGTTCGCGTCATTTCGTCATGGTATTGCATAAAATGCAAGTTCAAATATCCACGCACATTTGAATACATATAATTTATTCGCCAGTGTCATTTATCGAGGGTGAAGGTAGTTGATGACTCAACTTGAATCTCCAAATACTGTACTTCACCTGAAGTTCAATATTCACAAAAGGCAGCTTAGCAGGATATCAGAACACTTGTGGGAACCTAAGCATTAAAAATGTATACGGCGTGCGGTGTAGGTCCCCACACGTAGTTCGTATTGATCATTAGCTTGCTTTCTTGCATTTTCATCAGACTGCTGGCATGAACTCTACTTGAAAGTTATTGATTTGCATAGTTTGACCCACTTAACATACGTACTCGTTAACACAAGCATTATGATAGACACATTATTCTGTAGCTAAATTTCACACTTTTAGACTCCTTTCATTGTGGTGACCGCTTGCTACAAATATCAACTTGACCTGTGTTTTACCATTTCGATTGATATTTAAAATACGTATTTTGTCTTTATCAGAATAAGTGGAATTTTTTTCAAAGTATAACTAATTGGGCCACACATTGGGGGACATTCGAAAATATTACTGTTGCCCATTCACAAACAAAATGAACCACAGTGTAAAAAGTTTACTGTTAAAGAACATTGGAGAATTTTGAAGAAACCTTCAGTTGTTCAAAATATAGTGACATTTTCACAATAAACATGCACGAGTCGGTAGAAATTAGATGCCAGAGCACGACTCGGAGGGTACTATGGCAGAATAGAAGCAATCGAAATCCAAACTATTCAACACATTTTCCTAATACAGAGAATAATTTTTGGGATCGACCAAAAATATACTACTATAGGAAAGGCATTTTTGACAAAGAAACTGAAGGTGAAATTTGGTCCCAGGGATCTCATTTACGAAAATGAAACACCTTTATCAGTACCTAGAGACCAAGGTAACGATAAAAACCTCACAAACACCGAAAATTAGGTTAAATACACACTATCGCAGTAAATGATTCGATCAGTGAATAAGAAAATTAAGTAAATTTTATCTGGAATAAACACATCAAATAGCTTACATCAGCATGTTTCAACCGAAACTTTGCCTCTTGAAACCACTTATGTGCGGGTTCAGTGTCGCCTTTGGTTAGTGCTTCCTGAATATTGAGAGCTTCTTGAAAAATCTCGATCAAAATCTCATCAGCATCAGGGCACTGACGTGCCAAAGCCAAGGCAGATCTGTAGTGACCCATAGCAAAGAGGTGTTCAGCCAAGAGGCGGTCGCAACGAGCCATAAAGATGCGCTGACCAGATGGTGTAAGTGGTGGGAATTGAGCATGAGGAGGAACTGGAGGAGGTGGAACTGACGGTGACGTTATTGTCGACCCCTCACCATGGGAACTATCCAGAATGACACTTCCAACCAAACCAGAGGAGCGCAGCGGATTATCTACATGATGATAGTGCATTTCATGCATCAAGATCAAAGACAAATAAAGAGAAAGGTGCAAAATACAACTAACGAAAACGGACATGGGAATTAGGAAACGCTAGGTACTACACAATATACCAATTCAGTAAGACCTTCCAAATAATAACGTAGCTACCTGCTGCGAGGGGTCCAGAAAGACTTTGTCCCTCTATCTCAGAGACTTCTTTAAGATGTTCAATACGACGTTTGCAGGAGGCAACGAGTCCAATTTCCTCATTAAATATTTCGTCAGCCTACAAGGTATCACTACTATTTCAGAAGTCACCTTTCGTTTTGAACCTCCGACTGCGGTTATAACACGCCCAAGGAACTCAACGGCTTCGCCAGACGTCTTCACTTCGGAAAACTTATCTAGGATACGATTTAAATTGGCACTAGTTTTCTCCATTTCACGATGGTTCACTCTGTATTTTTTATTTAGAAGCTCATAGGTAGCCTTAATTGTAGTTAGTTAATAGATTTTTCTTTACTTTCATGCCCATGAATTCGGTTAGTTCTATCTCACTGCATGCCTTAGACGACGTCGTCATCTTTATTCGCAGTAGGTTAAAGCAAGCGGTCCAGATTATGCAAAGCTAAACTAATCCACAAAAGTTTCATCAATTTAAATTTCACATTCCCAAAACATTCTTGTATGAGTTAATTTCGTTAAATAAGATTACTTCAATCGTCATACACGTCAAAAGTTGTACGTGAAGACAACATTTTAAACTGCAAAAGTAGCCTTTGCATTTTTAAATCATTAAAGAAATTGACCTGCGGGAACCATGCATAAGCTTTTTTCGTTTACGGCATTATTTGATTCGTATAAATGCATGTGATATAAATGAAATGTCAGAAACTTGATTCACTTCCAAAGATCATTTAAATTGTTCTTTATTTCCATCAACGCAAGCATTCATAAGAAATCAAAAGTTAGTTTAGCAAATATTGCTATTGTTTGCCAGCAATGAAATATTCCTGGACATACTTTTAATTGATGTGCAGCTATTTCTGTTATCCTCAATTGATGAACAGTCGGGAATTGTTTGACTTATGTGATTTCAAATGTATGACACACACAGATCTGCTGTAAAAAGGTAGTACGGAAAATTAAATAAGTAGGCATTAGTTTTAAATCAAGTTAAATGGTGTTTTGTTAACGAGGGCCTTACATGTCAGTCTTTATCCTATGTTAATACTTCGATCGATGTTTTCAGTGACCTCGCTAGGAAATGTGCTTCAGAATAAGTTAGTGCCCAGCTAAAATAACTTGTCCAACCATTTATCAGAAAGTTGAATAGACATAATTTTATTTACGTTACGAAGACTATAATAGGTACATTTTAGCATGCATTTTTACCTGACAAAATATACATCTGTTGCACGCTCATATTTGCGCACCAAACTTAAAGCATCTATCTGTTATACCACGTTTACAATGCCATATTTTATTATCCCATTATTTTTCTATGTCTCATTAGTGTAAGACACCTTAAAAAATGCAGCTAAATTCGCTAGAAAATTTGGATATCACATGGTGTCAAATACTACAAGAAGTAATATTGGCAACTTTTCGCCTTTTCTAAGCGATTTCAAACTGAGGCTACGTCTGGCATTTGACTGCTGAAGAAATGATGCCATATTACACTATTCTCATAGGTTAAATTATTTGCAATCACAAAAATTTAAGCACTATTGAATAGTTAAAACTGTCCACGTTATCATTTACTAGAAGTTGATTTCAACGTTGAAACACTCTAGAGCAATTTGGTTTCTTATCCTCAAAACCAAAAGCTAATTCAATGAACATACTATGAAAATAGTCTCTAATAACCATTGTGTGACAATCAGCATTTTATAAATGGAGTTCAGTGCCAGAAACAAAACATCAAATAAATCGGAGTTATCATCGAAAACATCACACTTCATTTTCGACTCGATTTAAGTGCAAAAGAGGCAGGGAAAGTTTAGTTAAATATGAACATTTTCATCTTAATAACATAATTTTTGTATATTTACTTTTACGCTTCGATTTGGTGGTCTTGTCCTCATGTAAGAAGTAGTGACTCATTTATGTTTTGTCTATCATCTAGCGCGTGGGAAGCTGTTGAGGTGCAAACAAGGGCTTTTATTCCGTGTACTCATAGGTTCGTGTTAGTGGCCTGATAACCGTAAAACAGGATACGTGGAAGTAAATGAAATCCGTTAGTGTGTGATTCTGAGGAAGTAGTTCACAGTTGCCAACACCCTAAATTAAGTCCTGCTCCTTCTTGGTTAGAGATTTAGCTGTCCTTGAAAAGTTTGCATAGTCGAACTGATTTAAATATAATCATCCAGTGTTGTTGAGTTTTTATGGTTGTCTATGTGAATTGGCCAAGTTTTATCGGCCATGATTAACATGCTATTTTGTAGTAAAGAAATTATTGGGGTTGTTGATCGGAAAAATGAATAAAAGCAGCAGATGTGTTAAGAACAACACGGTAAATGTTAATTTGGCCCTTATTTTGTTTGGCCATGAATTAGTTAATCCAACTAACAGGTTTTTTGATGTTATGTTTGTATTTCTTGCATACATTTAACCAACCGTAATCAGGCAACAGAGCCTAATGTCCCGAATAAGGTAACAAGCATTTATCAAACGCATTATAAGTGTGCTGGGTAAAGTTACTCTTCTAGCAATACATGGCCCCTAGGCTAAAAAGAGGATAATTAACTCACTTGTCGTAATTACAAAAATTAATTTAAAATTATAAATCCCTAAAAGCAGTTTTTTTCATTATCAAGAGTCTTTTTTATAATCATACAACGTGAAATATGTACTAGCGTCATAAATCTTGGTATCTTAGTTATTAATTGCGGTCAAGTAATAAATGCAGTGGACTATAATTTGCAAGAAGCCCAATATTATTCATCACTTTTTTCAATCGCTAGCTATTAACACTGCCAATATTCGTGCTATGACTTCGAATTTAGAGCTAGTTAAGACCAAGAGGAAAGTGGAAAAATATGCTAGGACAATTTTTTCTGCTATTGAAAATTTGTTAGTTAAAATTCTTTATTGCTATTTGGGAAAGTTGTTGATTAGATCACTACATGTCTTGTCAAAGGACAACGAAAAATGTTTAAACTCATATGACCATTCTCGGCCTATAATTTAGCTATTCATAAATTCTTCAATACAGTTGCGCTATTAACAAAATAGCTTTTAAAACAAATTTTATGAAATTATCTCGTAGCTGCAAGGTTAAAATGTTAAAAAGTGGAAAAAGGCAGTAAGAATGAACCAAAATGACCAGAGAGTCATTAATCTTTCATCTGCGTTAATCAATTTTAAATGCATGGTCTAAAGATAATTTTGCTTTTTACTACTTTGCTGAGTAAAGAGATCGGAAGTATTCTGCGGCACAGTGATTTTTGCAAGAGGAACTAATCTCACGAACACATTGTACAAGATGAGGAAAATAATATCAAAATTTTAATGACCTAATAGGTTTTTTTACTATATCTATGCATTTTTAAAACTGCACTCTTAGCTTGTTTAATTTTTTCCAAACTCATTTTATTCTACAACGCGGGTTGTTTGCTCGAGCTCCCAACAAGTTGTCTTTTTTTCGAAGGTAGACTAATTTTTGCTTCTGCAGCATAACATTTTTTATTAAGCATGGTCATGTAGTTGTTGTTGCTAAAATTGGCTGTTACCGATAAGCTTCTATAATTACCACAGTACATTAAGATTTTCCAAGCATTTGAAAGCCCGTATGTATCGTAGATATAGCCAGTGTATGTAGATTTAGGTTATTTAAGAATCGTTTTTTACTTGTGAATCTGATATGGGAAGTAATATCGAAAACCTACATATTTTGTTCAATTTAGGACATGCATCTCCATTTCAACTTTCTAGGTCGGGTTGCAAACTATAATATGTATTATCTTTTTGATTTGATCATATATGCGTTCCTTACACGTTCGTTATCCGTTTCGTCTTTGTCGTTTTTTTGTTTACGAAATACGGAATTACATTATTTTCCACACAGTCTTAAATATATTTTGTTCAGTGGGTCCCTTTAACTAAGTTCTCCTGCCCACAGTTTTGCGGCTGTCACTGATGGTCTATTCAGTGTTTCTCATGGTTTTCAGAATTATGCTTAATCTGGCTATGTTGTACAAAGTTTAAAAGCGATAGACATTGGTATTTGAAACTGAATCAATGTGATGTTGATTGTCTCGATTCGACAGAAATGCTTCCTCACCTTTACTACGTTATGGTGAAAAGTCTTTTTAGGTTTTAACTCGTAATTAAATTGTTTAAAAAATCTCATTGCCTGCAACCCAAATTGGTTAATATTCTGTCTTACCAGAACGCTACTGTAGCAAGAAAACACAACTGCTTTTATTTTCGGTATTCTACTGATGGACCTATTGTCTATGATGTCATCAGTGTAAATTTTTATATTGTTTCTTCATACTTTAAATTATTTGTCTCTAATTTGAGTCCACCATAACTAGACCTTTTCGATAAAAGTCCAATTTATTGTGTTTACTTAAAAAAAGTACCAACGGTATGCCTGTTTAGAAGTTTAGAGGATGGAAGGTTGTTTTTCACACGTGATTTTCCACTGTATAACATGAAAATAATGATTCTTTCCCTTGCATTTCAAAATTTTACAATGGCTTTAAATGACTTTTTTATAGATATTATTTGCAAATGTCTCTGCAAATTAATGAATTCCGCAATTCGTTGACGTCAACAGCTTCAATCAAAGCACTTAACCTACTTATTGGTTGCCTTGAAGCCAATGCCTGTATGTTCTTATTGAGTCATGATAATTAGTAGATGATCTGGAAGACCCACCATGCCTACCTTCGTTGCCAAGTATCAAGGACAATGTAATGAATTTGGTTGAAAGTTCGCCTTAATTTTTTTTATTGTTGCCATTAGAACGGGATCAGCTTGATGAATTAACCGTCAAAATAATGGATATCCAGGAAAAGATAAAGGTATGTGGGTGAGCTTATCTTCGTGAGCCTTTACGAGTGGATCCAATAAGTCCTTTTCGTTGCAGGTTGTGCGTCAAGAGGTGCAAGAAGGGTCTAAAGAAGTTCATCTTAACGAGGAGTCGTTCAAATTTTTCGAAGACGTAAGCATTAACACAGTGCTACCAAATTTACTGTATCTACTTAAAGGTTGTCGGCTATTAGTCTATGGCGACATATTTCTTGACGTTTGCCACAGGCAACAGTCAGGATTATAAGGGGTCCATCTTAGTTGCTTTACACGAAGCTTCGTTAATGAAGGCACTTTTATTGGGCAGACTGAGCACCTTTATTTAACTTCGTGCTATTTCTAAGCGACACTGTAAGCAGTGTTTTATGAAAGCGCAGTTTTTCAGAAAGGCAGAAGATAACTTGGTCATGTCTACTTCTTAGACCGATCGATAGAGTTTCTTTCGATTCAGATGCATGAGCCAACCGTTACTCGACAAGTGGAGAATCAAGTATGGCCGGTGAAATGTCGCATAAATACATGCGCAAATGGACATGCTTTGTCCGCATCATATCTAGCCACAAGCTGGGTTTCTAATTGTGTTAGATTCTGTAGTTTGTGAAAAAGCAATTTGATCAGGAATTTGCGCGAAATGTAGCCCTTTGAAGACCAGAATGTCTCTTCTTTGTTGTGGAATACCAACGACTACACAAAATTGGTTAGTGAATTATAGCTCAAGCCTTTTTTTCAGTTTAAAAGGTTGTTGGACCACAAAATAAATCAGTTCAGTCGTACAATGGTGACAAAGCATGAGCTCCTGGAGGAGGCAAAACAGCAGAGGGATTCGGAAAATGAAAAGCTTGCGGCCTTGAGGAGGGAGAAAGGTGTCCATAACAGTCCGCAGCACCACACCAGCCCTGAAGAGAAGCTAAACGCGTAAACGGTGGAATGTCAAGTGTTCTCTTTGTTTGTAAATCAGCTTAATTACTTTCTCGTCTTTTTCTGCATGTGCAGGTCCATGGATATGTGGATGAACAGTCGGCTCGGTAGCCTCACGTTTCCCGATGAGTCGCATGTCCTCCTTGACACCTCAACGTCCTCCATTCTCGAGGGCGCATCAGCGAAACCTGATAACGGCGCCCGGATAAGGTGCCACCTGAAGCAACCTAGCGATGTTGAAGAGGCCTTTGCTGTGGATCAGTTACATGTGCGTTAACTGCGTGACAATTTTCCTGATGCGTTAGGTCAACACATTGTGGGTACTCACTGAGTGGTGTTGTTCTTTGATACGTACACATTTGTAGCATTTTGTACAAACCATTCTCTGTTTCCTCATAACGAAACTGACCGTTACATTAAATAAGGCCGATCGAAATCGGGAGACAGTTGTGGTGAGACTGGGCCTCCTAGCCGAAAATCCTTGTTTTTTGAGGGGTTATGGCCCCGTGGGGTCGTGCGTTATTTTGCTGGAGTTTGACCTGATTTCGATTACTTTGTCCTGGGAGATTTTAAAGCAAAATTATGTTTAGGAATTTTTTGCTAATTCGTATTAACTTTGATCTCAGTGAATATCAGCTCCTTGTTATCTTCAGTTAATCTTTTTGAATCTGGTCCTCCGCAATGATCAAAATAACCACTTTAGATTTGTTCACCAATCACCGACGAGTTGTGATATCCAGGATGCACCAGACTCTTAACACTTGGTACCATGTGACTTGGCCACCCTCGAGACATTCTAAGCCTCGCATTTTTAAGAGGCATCTTATCTACAGTTTGGTCTCCAACTTGTCTAATAGTGAATTCAAATTTTTCCGATTTCCCACTGCGCAAACTTATTGAATTTACGTAGTAAATCGGTTCTGCACAGTGAATAGCCTTCACGAACAAGGTTGTACTATTTTCAACCTAAATCCGAAGCATCATCACTTTTTGGAACGTCTTGGTTTATCACCGAGTGGAACACAAGATCATAATTTGACGTACTTGGAAATGCAGTGGGTTGTATTTTCGGTGTGATTGTAGCTTCCGTGCTACGATGGAAAGTGTGTTGATGGGTGTGATTAAGGAGGTTGTCGAAGTCTCGATTTGTGTGCCCCTCAGCTGTACGCTCTGCAAACTTTAGTTAAAAGTTTATTTATTTCCACAAAACTGACTGTCCAACTCACCGGTGTCAGTCACAAATTCCTCTTGGTAATGTGCGTGTCAGTTAGCAAATAATCCCATGCTTGGGAAACGTACGCGGTTGAGAGGCGTTGAGCATCCAAGCTCGACGTGATCCAGGCATTTCAGTAGGTATATTTACTCTCATTTATCTTGTTTTTTTCTTTTAGCCGCTCGGCGGGTCGAGTGAAGCCATGCAGGTGGCACAGTTGGCGACTCAGGCCATGGCGCCGTCTCTCCTTGCAGCCCATGTCATTTGGAAGCGGCTTTCTGACGCTGTTAACAAATAAACCTCACAATTAGGACATTTTGTGTCTACTTTTTTTTACCAAAAACAATTTTCCATGTTATATTTTATAAATTAATTAATTATTTGAATTCATTTCTGCGATACCATCGCCTGTTTTCGCACCATTCGTGTCCAACTTGACTGATCTATGTGTGCAAACGGTAGGCGACACTGTCGCGTCAAGTTCAAAGACTGCAAAGACCTTGTGGAGGAGGCTTAGAAGCGGGCATTGGCTTTCATTCCAAAATCAATTCAATCGTGGGCGCATGAATAAAAAAACTTCACAGCAAATCGATTTTTGTATGAAAATTCAAACGTGCCTGCAGTGGTAGGGTATGTTCAATTAAGTGTCGGCTTATCCGCGTTATATGTTATGTGTACATATTTTCATTATTCTCGTCACCATGGCTGTGTGCACTGTACGGGATTGGTTGGCGGTTCACACTATCGGGTAACTCGTAAAGACTTGGGCAATTTCATGTCGGATGAGCCAAGGGTAATGTTAATGTGGTTTTTTTTTCAGTAAACTAAGGTATTTGCCTTTTCCCCAAACACAAGTGTCGCACACGTTCGGTAATCGTGGACCCTTTGCTTACGTTCATTTTCGCGCACCGTTTATTTCGTGGATAACATCTTTTGGCTAAGCACTATCGTCATAGCTAAGCAACGAGATCCGAAAATTAGTCTTTTTGGATAGTGATAAACACCTCAATTGAAATGAGGCAGGATACGATCCGTGTTAGGTTGGCAGAACGTAAACAATACCAATCTCTAACACAAATTTGTTCTCAATTTGTGTTTTTACCTGAGGCAAGACCAGATTGATTCTACTGAGTAGACCTCAATAACTCTATTTGCCAGGTCACAATCAAGTGTTGCGGTGCAGGAGTTTGGAGGCATGGCCCTGGTGCAAAGCCCACCGACAGTCTACCCCTCCGGCATTTCTCAACGTGACGGTCTGCCTTTCTATAGCATTTCGGGAGCTGGCACCAGTTACCCACGCAGCAACCCACCAGTGCTTCCACCTCAACGCAGCCCATCTAAGTATGCATATGCACCACACCTAGTGCCCGAGTGGAGACGGAACGAAGCTCTTCCTGACAAATTACTTCTTGATGGCGACCTCCAGGCAGCTTACAACGAAATGACTCGGTTCTCGCCAAGCAAAGTGATCAGAAATCTTGGAATCCACCCTACCTATTATCAGCGCAGTGTTTCCCACAATGAGCACTCTATTTTTCCACACTTGAGATCGTCAGTCAATTAAGGAACTAACACGTCAACCGTTTATTAAGAGTAATTTTGGTTAAAATTGGAGTTGCAACGTTCCCAACAGTGATTTACTATTTGGCAGTTTTTTGATGAAAATCTGTAGTTTTACGTGACAGAAGAGTTGGCACAGAAACCTCCATATTTATCGACGCCAAGTCAACAAAAAAATTAAAAATTGTATAAATTTAAGGCTAACAAAAAATTTCTAGAGACTGAAGTAAATTTAAGCCAGAGGTAGTTTTCAGGCTCTAAGAAGATAATGAGTTCATAGAATTGGGAACTGTTAGACTCTAGGGATAATGCTTGTGCGGAATGTTTACTGGTTTTAGTAGACTGGATACCGAAACACTACGGTTCCGAACTTCTGATGAAAGAGTAAACTAGTTACTTAGTGCACACCAGGAAGCCGAGATCAATGCCGACATACTGTATGACTTATAATTGACGCAAGCTGTTATTAGTCCATTTTCAAGTAGTCGTTTCAAAAGATGGAAAAATGACTTAGAATTTGAAGGCAGGCATTGAGTTAATTTGCTAGAGTTCAGTTTGAGTTCGAGGTTCTTAGTTTCAAAATGCAGATGAGCAAGCATTAACAATTTTTCAAGCGGTGCAAAGGCTGTTTTAGTGGAAGTGTGGGCCAATGTTTCGTAAATGCTTTTAGTGCTAAGTAATGAGTTAAGGTAAATGTCAGAGGCCAACTACGAAACCTCAAAATAATCTTCCCGAAAGTGTACAGTTTTACTTCCGGAGGGGGGGCGATACGATGCTTCTCTGTCTGTTATGTGAAATTGTTGTATTTGTAGGCACTTCCTAATTAAATTTTCATTGATTTATTCAAATCCCCAAAAGTTGATGGTTATACCAAAATTTCCAAAATTATGGGAGAGAAAGAGAGGCTGGCACTAGCAGCACACTAGATCTATAGCTTAAAACCAAAGCGCTTAATACATTAACATTCGTGAGACGTTTACAAATTGCTTTCTGCATTAGCATTAGTCCCATTTTGAATATATCATTTGTAGCCGAATCATGATGTAACTGATATCTGATCGAAATTGAAAACATTCAAAATTGCTAAGAACTATTTTAATTTACCTGTATATTTACATAGTTATTTCCAACCTGCCTGTTGAGAGAACAGATCCGGATACTCCTAAATTGGTGTGAAACTTCAGAATATATGTACATAGTTTAATTTTCCAGTAGTTTTACAAGTTGATTGTTTGGCATTTTGATTCAATCCAGAGGCATTAATGTGTTTTATTCTTCGCTTTCGAAGGACCTCCAAGTGCTGGACAGTCCAGAGCAGTTCTTCTCGATGCAAACTAAACGTCACGGTAGAAATTTAAAAAAAAGGTTGTGACGCGCATTGTTTTGGATAACACGCACATAATATATTTAGCGTTCTAGATAAATTATTCCTAATTGGATCCGACGTATCTCTCCGGACTTAGGCCCCAAATTTTCGTTAACAATTTTTGCATACTTTGAATGCGATTAGTTTTAAGTAATGATAATATGTAATTAAGGTTTTTGACTGCTTTAATTTTAATTTCATGTATTTCTAGATCATAAATTTTGTCAATCGAAATCAAAAATTACTTCACCAAAGCATTTGCTTTTGAACTTAGAAATTTCTAAATATTTAAGAAGCATCTAATTTGGAAAAACGAAGTTAAGTATTATCTAGATGAAATCAAAAGTCCATTAAAAAATATTTTGGGTAGTCTTTGAGGAGTCCTCCCTTTTCTATTAACTAAACGTTTAAATCCAGGCAGATTCTAAATATTTTCGTGAAGGAATTATAATCAAATAGTCAAGTAAATTCTTTTTTTACTTGACAGCTCCGTGTATGGAAATCATGCAATATATAATTATTTCAGATATCCAAGTTTATTCGTTAAAATCAACAACAGTCGATTCAAATTTACTGCTCTTTTTATAGCGTTTTTTTTGTTGAGAGGCCTATGTCATCGAGAATTCTCCGTATAAAATTATCTACAACCCATTTTCTTTAAACTGGAGCGTATAGTATGCTATAGTACCATTATCATATAATTAACTCTCGTGATAATCCCATTTTTAGAGCAAACTGGTATTAGGATGTTATGCGGCTAGAATTAGTTCTATGTAAAAACCGATTAACTTCTAACGTGCCAATTAATCAGCTGCTTTTTGCAGAAAATTATCCAGTAAACTTTGTTGGAACAACTATCTATAGATTATTAATAGTCCCAGTTGCTCATATAAACATTTATTAGTTAACCGTTTTAACACTGCCGTTCAAAAACATTTGCAGCATTAGAATTTCAAAGGTGTGCTATTTCTGGCCGCCAAATTATTACCCTGTGAAGACAAAATCATTATTTAAAAGACTAAATTTCAAACAAGGTCTTGTAACTCCAAGATTATGTGTGAAACATTTAATAATCAGTCAACAAAATTTTCGAAAAAACTACAATATCTGCGCGTAGTTTAAGAAATTATCTTTGTCCGAATTTTCGGCTGTCCTGGTATTAACGAATAAATTTTCAAGGCTAACAAAGTTTAACTTGTAAATTTATTTTACAAAATTGTACTCATTAGTAAATTACTGTTGTGGGCCCCAGCATGTGGTCTTGAACCACGCCGGGGCCACGGAATTCACTTTGGCCCGATTACGATTGCCTGATATCCGCGATGAAGAAAAGATCGGAGAGGACGTGGACAAAACCGTTTACTTCAGAGTTCAACCACGTTAACGTTGTTGTGTCGTGTGGGGTTTGAGCGTTTGTATTTATACCTCGGATGTGTGAGTCATACATGCGCTAACATCTAGACCTAGGTGTGAGGATAATCCAAGGTAAATATCGGTGTGAATGAGGGGGTGTTGAGGATTCGTGCGGCTGGCGACATGCTGCGAAAAGGGGAACCCTGTGTCGGAGATGAAGCGACCGGATTAGGCGCATGAATAAACGCGTATCACAACACAGCAATCTAATGTAACTATTTCCACTACCGACGTTTGATAGATATCAAAAAATCATATTAGGCGCACCTGCAAACAATTCTAGTAATTTTTTTAGTGAGAGCATTTTCGTCATATTTATCTAAAATTGATATGGGAATAAGAGGATATACTTTGCAGAAAATTATGGCGTGTTTAAAAGGGATGTCGTGCCCAATCTCGTAGTAAAATTTTGCATTTCTTCATTGAGAAAATTTTGTCCGGTTTAGTGGCTCAGACTATCGCGGGCCCGAGAATGTGATTTTGAATCGCGATGAGCCAATAAGTCGGATCTTTCCCAGTAACGCTACCCTGAGTTTCGGGAAAATGAAGAAGGCTGGAGAGGACGTGGAAGGAACCATTGATTCAATGCTAAATCATGGTGGAGTCGTTTTGTGGGGTTGGCTTATACATGTGCGTATTTATAACTTAGATATATAAATAATAAATTTTCAAACGTCGAGATTTTGGCGTGAGGATAATTCATAATAAGCATTCGCGACAATGAGATTGAGTTTGAGGATCCGCGCAGATGACGACATATTGTGAGAAGAGGAAACTTGTGTCAGATCCTGGAGTGACCTGATTAGCAAGTGTTAATCAAAGCGATGTACGATAGCTCTCTCCATTAGCAAGAGTATTTAACGAACCTTTTCGTTTAATGAGATTTTTGAAAGGCAGGCCATAGGTTTTCTGCAGTTTTAGTGTGGCTGTCGAAAATAATTGTATGAAAAATGTTCTTTCAGAAAAAACTTCGACAAATCAATTTTACAGTGAAAAATCTATAAGACAGGCCATAGGTTCACTGCAATCGAAATGTGGCCCTTGGGAATGTGGAAACGAGGCGAATTGTCACAGCCTGAATGCAAGTGGAAGGCCTGCCATCTTAATGCATTGTTAGAAGTCGTTGGAATGAATCACTGCTAGTTATACAATCTTTTCTACAAGCTGTATATTTAAAAGGTTATTCGATGTCATATCATAGGATCGCTTAGGCCCATCTATTTTGTTTAGAATCGAGATGCATGGAGCAGAGCCGAATAAAAATATCAACATCAATTTCTCTGTTCAATCAATTAAAGGAAAAAAATGAAATAACCCTAATACTTGTTTTCATTTTAATGCATTAATATTCAGTGGCAAGCTGAATAAATTTACTAAATTAGGAAATGTCCTTAATTGTGGGGAATCATTTTGTTTTCATGTTGAGAATCCATAACATTTAGGCATTCTTTTCGAAAAAAAGATTTGATTAGTTAGACCATTAAGAATGCTAAAAGTCATTTTGCTTAATTAGGCAATGCAGCTAATATTTTCAGATGTTTTTGTTTGTTTGTCCCAAGCATCACAGATTCTGTTGACCTAAACAATTGCAGGCAGGTACCGCGTTTATTAAAACGACTGGGAAAAGTGAATCTACCTTTTAAGTTTTATTAAAAAGTCTTTTTTGCAAGGTTCAAAATCATTTAATTTAATAAATGTTACAAATACACTTAACGGCTGCAGTTTTGGAATTCCATTTATTTCCAATTTAATTTCAAGTACAAAAAACACTGTCGAGTGTTTCAAAAGTATCTTGAGTGGCAGTTGTTTAAGAAGTTATGAAATCGTATGTAACTGTTACTTTGCTTACGTTGCCTGATGTCATAAATTGATCAAGTCATGGACGCATTTTAGATTTTGCATTAATTTACCTTAGTACTTTTGAAGTGTCTTTGTGTCTGTAGCATTAAAACTTGTTTTTGAAAGTGCTTGATTAGTATACCTCAGAGTAAGAAAGCATAATCTCTTCACAACACATATTTCAATCACGAGTAAATAAGTCCATTCTTGGACCAAAAGCCTTAATTCCAGCATTGTAATTTTTTAAACTGTGTTTTGTCAGCTGGAGTAGTGCTAATCCTGTAATCTTCACAGAAGGCTTAATGAAATAATGTGCATGGGATTTTTTAATTTGAACATGACAATCCAGTTGGATAAGTCGTCTGTTTTTTTAAATTGATATGCGAAAATACCCTCGGCACATGCAGGTACCTTATTAACAAATTTGAAGCCTTTTACCTTGCAAATACTAATACATCAAAGTTGTGTTGATTTGTGCTGCAAGTACATGGTACCTTAAGTTGTTAGAATAATATGTTAGAAAGTCAACTTCTAAAGTGTGGTCTTGTTTTTGTTAATTCAACCTCACTTCCTTAACACTAATCGATATCAGGCAAACTTAATTTTACGTTCGGTAATGTATAGGTCATTTATTGCAAATTGATTTTTTGACAATAATTAAATTCCAAGTTTTTTAAGTGGGATTTATGTATCTAAGTTCACGCTCTATATATCATCCCCACGTCTCCTCTTCACACGCGCAAAATACTCGAAAAAAATAGCAACCATCTTCAATTTTGTGTATGGTGATTTGAGGAAACACATAAGCACTTTAATTATAAATTGACTTATTGATAAAAAAAATTCAAAGGATCAAGTAACTGACTCTTAAATGCCTCTGTGCAGTTTTTTACTTAATTTAATGTCATCTTATCATTGTGCCAGATAAAGATGTCAATCAAAACGAATAAATTCTAGCTTTAAAATTTGGAAATTATTTTTATAATGCTTTTAAGCCCTATTTTCGGTGTTTCAACTTATAAATATTTAAAATTTAAAAGGCCATAGGAAACCTTTTGTAAATTGTTTTCCAATAACGACTTTTGTTTTTTTTCTGCAGAATAAATCAATGAGCTATATTTACATTCTCGTCCCTATCTCTCTATCGCTCATTCTATTTATGGTGACGGTGGGATATTTACTGATAATAAAATACAAGGCCAATCATCTTCTCAAAGCGCTCCGCCTGCAAATGATCACTGAACGTTGTGGTCAGGTTTTTGTGCAAAAGCGTCCCGATGTAACATACGGTCGAGAACCATTTGTCGGAATTTATCGAGAATCAGTTATCTCGAGTCCGCAGAAGAATTACGGTGAAAGCCTAATCCACCAACACAGTATGCAAGTGCAATCTGGTGATGCGGGGTTCGGAAGTTTGCATTCGCTTAACTTTCAATCTCGGAACAACCAAATTTCGGAGTAAGTTTAGTCCTTTTGATACTTATTCTAAAAGGCTTTTACTCCACGTATATTTAGTAACCTGAAGTTTAGGTATTATTAAGAAATTGTGACCTCAGTAAAACGTAATTTTCTCTCGATTAGCGTCATCGAAATACCACTGCGCCCTTATGTGCATTCGAGTTCATCATCAGGTGGCACAAGTCAGAATTTTTATGATAAGTTCCGAGCAAAGGAATATAAACACAAACACAGAAGCAGTGGCCCAAGGGACGACCGTCGGTTTGGAACACTGTCTCCACCTGAATCAGAAGCTCCACCACTTCCTCCTCCTAGAAATGGAACGCTTAGCGGTATTCGTGAATATAACTTTGTTGATGAATTTGGTGTGGCCAATGCTTATAATCTACCCGAATATCGCAATTTTCAATCAAAGCAACCGCCACTTAGTTAACAGGTAAGTCACCGGCCTTCGTTTGAGTTAAAAATAATCGGCATTTCCAATAGTGTTATCAGCATACATTAAGTGAGCAAATTCGTGTGTACAACTAACTTCAAGTAAATGGGCTTAATTTTGAGAGGCTCACGTCGATATCCTAAATTGAATGTATTTCACTTTTGAACAAAAAAACCTTTAGTTGAACTAATTTTGCATTTTCATCTATACTACCACCGAGGCCAGTCCACCTGTGTGTTTGCAAGGCTATAAATTCATGTGAATCTCTACAAGCGAACTTCACTGACCTGCCGTCATTAGGCCCAACTTCGTAACTGAGGCTGTGCTCATAAGGTCTGTTGAATGCAGGTGTTAAAACACGTCTGAGGATAGTCGCAAATAAAGTGGCCAATTTTTAATGACCTCTGTGCTTTGGAGTAACCTCCATAACCGATTATCATCGGAATGTTTCCTTCTTGCAAATGGCCTAAGTTGATGCAATAAAATCCACACATTTTCAAACACCGCGTCTACTTTTTTCTCGATGCTTTAAATCCTCCTTTGCTACTTTTGGTGTTACTAAGTCATTGTTCGCGTTCAGAAACAAATATTTACATTTTGTTCGAATTTCAAAAAGTAGGGGTTGCAAAAATACTTTGTGAATGCTTCTATTCCACAAAACTTAAGTGCACTTAAACAAAAAATGATTGTTTTTGGTAAATAGGCCTTGACATTTTAAGATTCTCACGTCTACTGAAACCTACTTAACACTGTTCTTAGAGTATTTCGACATGGCAGTTAGCTCATAGTCAGGTTAGCTTTCGGACCTCCTGTATTCAGTCAAATGTTTTTATAATGTTTCGTATTGATTTGTCCGAATATCACCTAGTTTAAGAAATCATGATGGTCATCTTTGTAGCGGAATAAAAAGTCAATTGGATTGTGAAATGTTCAACACTTTCGTATTCCTTAGACGTCACCCTGATAAATCGATGTGTGCGAACGTTAAATCTGCATAGTCTGTTTGGGGGGGGGCAGTTTGGTAGTCAGCAACTGGCCTGCTAGCAAGGGAAGGTAGCCAAGCTGTTGAAAATTATTGCCGAGACATTCTATACCCGCCTGGATCGACCTAGATGATAATCTTTCCGAGATGTGCCTCTCGTGACTTACCCGTGGTAGGGAATACGTACCAGAACGCACCCAACGTGTGGACAATAAATTAGTCTTGGGTTTCATATTTATTTTGAAAAGTCTCAGTCGATGTCAAAATTTTCATCTTTGAGGCATTTGATGACATTCTTACTTGCTGTGGAAGCAAATCCTTGGGTCAATTTAAGCATGGAATGCAGAAATGAGTATTTCAGGCTTTTTGTTCTGTAATGCTGCAATAAACAAGAAATCGAAGGAGAGCCGCAACGAAATTTGTGATTGCTTAACAGAATTCAGGAGAATTTCGTTTATAGAGTTTTATATTCAAAGTCGACGAGAGGTTTGATTGACCTACGAAAGTTTATGACGACCACGTCAAAGAACTGATTGAATCTAATAGTCAAAACCATGCTCGATTGCAAAGAGGTTAATAAACGTGAATTGTTTATCACATTACCAATCGGAAACTACCATGGGCCAGACGTAATGAACCTACCAAATAGATATCTGATGCTAAAATGTCTGCAAAACTGATAATGCTATCAATACAGTGTGTTCAGGAATTTTTATACATTTTGGGCTGCTTTCAAGAGCCGATATCGTCAAATAACATATCTGGTGTCGGCAACCAATAAAACTAAGGTGGTCAGAGTGGGTTAATCACAAAGAACTAGTACTTGTATAAGACAATACGAGGCCCCAAACACAGTTCGTAATTAGTGGAAAATCATTGGACCTTGGTTGGAAGATGACTTTACGTTCGCCAAATCGTCTCCACCTTTCTCCATGAATTTACCAATCATATTGCTGTAGTAGAATTTTCATTAATGATTTCTGCTGATAAGCACTGCGGTTTTACGGGTTTGGTGAGAAACAAAACTGTTCGACTAAAATGTTGAATTCACTATTATTTTAAGTTCAATCTTTGTGCTTGAAAAATTCTCTTCTGTTTCACATTACGAAACTGAAATTGCTCTCCTGACAACCTGTTGTGTCAACTTGCCGAATAACGTGATCGCTGTAAAGGTGGTTTAAGTGGTTATGCAAATGAGTGTCGGTGGCCAGAGCGTCTTCTGCCTGTCTGCTAAGCTGCTGCCGGGGGTAGGGCGTCACCTCAACTCGGCACACACGCGTGCTCACCTCCTGGTTTGTTTGATATTGTCTAGGCAACCACTCGTTGTTATACAGTGGAAACATGTCTTGACGGCTGACGTGGATCCCACACACTCTCCGTGTCCGAAAAACGTACATTCTCTCTATCTATTTTGAAATCAAACTCTTTTAAAGATGACCGAATAAATACTCTGTGGACCCTTGCTGCAAATTGCACAGTTCGTGCAGCGCTTAAAATTCAGGGAACGGATTGCTGTAAAACGTTGTGGGGTCATGTGCCTTACAATTACGTAGCACATTTGATTTGAAAAAGATTTTTCTTTGTTTTTTTTAGGTTATTATCGATGGTGTGGACTTTTTCAGCTACAATAATAAGACCAATTTACTACATGACAATCATCGCTTTCCAAAATTTCTTCACTGAATATTTAGAACTTGAAACTGTAAATACCGTTTTTGGGACACTTCAATTGAACCACACACTATACATAAACTTGAGTATGTGTAGTGCTAGTCAATACAAATATCATATTTACAAAATGCACTGAATCTTTTTTGGAATGAATTAGAATCATTCATGGGAAAGAGACAAAACATAGCTGGTCTCTGCTTGCTTGCATTTGGTAATTTTTTTTTAAACTCTTAAAACAGAATACCCAGTATAATAGTAAACATTTTTTAGATTTGCTATCGAATCCTCCCATTTCTTCTTTAAAATAACGGACTAAACACTTTTCATTTCATTGCCTACTTATTGCATGTGTAGCTTTTGACGTCAGCTAATAATGGTCGATTCAGCAACCATACTTCAATTTTAAAAATACTTGGTTGTTGATAGCTGATAGAAAGTGGGTTTCTCTTTATGTCATTTTGAAGAGATTTTTTTTTCAAAAAAGTTTAAAATTATTATGAAATTTCTTATTTTTAACCTTACTACATCTTAGCGGTATTGGAATTCAGTTGAGAAACGATCTCAAGTCGCACTGTGTTGAGGACTAAGATGGGGAGGAAGAATGACAGGCCCATTTAAAGGGCTGATTTAACTGTTTCAAGGGTGTTGGAAGCCACTGCATCAACCCTGCCCGATTTTCGGTGCTTTCGCCAAAAGTATAGAATCTTGAAAGCCGCAAAGTGTTCTTGCTGTCGAGCGTAGGTATTACTTACAGGCACGACTGGCTCTTTGGCAGCTTTGGCCACAAAGTTGGACTTGTCAAGGGCCCGGTCCTGCAAGGCAGACCTACCCACCTCAATCTGTTCGACCAATTGCTGGGGATTTTCGGTGGTCAGACGACCGAGGAAGTTTCGCGTCAGGGCGTCAAGGAGATCCATACAGAAAATGCGGTCCTGAGAGCAGATTGGAATGGCAAGGCAGGCCAAACGAATTCGATTGGGCCGAGGAATGCCAAGTGGGGGACCGATTCGTTCAACAAATTCCTCAAGGTGTTTTAGCTCGATAAACCCGCGTGCGTGGACGTCGTATAGTTCCCAGACCTCGTAAAAAGCGTCGAATTCGTCCTAAAGATCAGTTACACAAGTATACACATAAGCAGATGTTTAAAAGGATATTTTGTGAGGTGGATGGGTGAAACATGGGATACGTTGACGCAAGGGTGCTTTTGGGAAGGCTTGAGCTGTGAGACTATCATCAAACGCTTTTTTCGTGCAAAAATGAATTAAGAAATGTATTCCGTTTCTGTTAATTGCTGTACACAGGGCGTAATGTAGCTCACTGGACAGAGCTCTGACATTCTTTTACAAGCTTCATCAATTCCGCCTGCTTAATCTTGGGAGTAATGTGGCGACTGAAGGCCGAAAACGTTTTTCTCCGTCTGCTACAGGTTTTGTTGAGCAATCTTAAATTTTCACTTGGACACAACTTTTTGGAAAGATTCAGATAGCCCTTTTCACAGGTTTTACAAGCACTAATTTACCAAATTACTAAAAACAGATTATTCTTTTGTGCAGTTTTACCTAGTATCAGCTTTCTAAGACTAGAATTTACTCTCCAATCATTTTCCTTCGACAAACCATGTTTGGCCTTTTATTTGGCGAATCGAATTTATCGCAAGGAGGCAGTCAAATTTGAATGATTTCATTACAAATTTGGCGTATTTAATTGGAAGAGATCCACTTTGCCACAGCTGTGATTTCCGCTTCTGAAATAAAGTTTGTGATTCGAGAAGAGGATTCTCGATTCCAGGAATAAAAACTGTTTCTTAAAAGTGTGTTGCTACCTCTAGTAAATTTTCAAAGTAAGACCAACTACTCATATGGTTTGATGCAGCTTGCCTGTGTTAGCCCTTGTTGAACATCTTCGGTAGCCTGACTGAAATTCTCCAGAATGACAGCAATGTACATGTTGATAATAACCATGAAAGAGATGATTAGATAGGAGACAAGGAATAGGGTTGCCCAAAGGAAGTTTCCACAAGTCCCCTCTTCTTGGCTGCAGTAGGCGGGGTCCGTGTTGCTGAGACCTTCAAACACCGTACTCCAACCTGTATGCAGGAAAAGAGGAATCTGAACATGTTCGAAGGAGGCTATTAAACACAATGGGGCTATAAAATGCGTTTAAGTAGGGTGTGAAAAGTAGATGACTGCTTATGCCATTAGGGGAGGGACCTGGCGAATTCTTCAGTGTTCTTGGATTGCATCGCCATATGATTCGTGTTTGAACAACTAAATTACTTTGTGGTTTACCGTATTAGTTTTTGAAACACTAAGTGGTAACACGAAGAAGATCACTTTAACCCTCGGTTATTATAACTACATCATCCGTTAAAAATGAAGTACGACTGCCAACTCACAGACGTGAACAAGAACACCTGTAAGGCGTGCTAAATGCATTGCTGTGTTGAAATTTGAGAGCCATTCACGCTTTGTATTTATAAAATATCCAAAAGGGACAGACAAATGGCAAATACACCACTTTTGTGAATGATGTTTTTTTAAATTAATTAAATACGTAACACTCTTATGCCTGAACGGATCTTAGAGTGACCAGCAAGCATGTTGCACTCACACCGGAATGTGTATGCAAACCATTAACGCACTAACCAATACATGCGCCTGAATACCCACATCCACGTCCTCATGGAAGCACTCACTATGTGAATCGAACAGATCATCACAGGAGTAAGTCATAATTTGTATCAAGAGCAAAAAAGATCCCTAAAATCTCTACTCGAAACTGGATTTATTTATCACAGCTACCTTGTCTGCATTTATGAATAGGTTTCAGATGAAGGGGGCATTAAATTTGGTTGAAAAAGGTAAATATAGTATCAAACAAAACGGCTGCGCAGTTCATTTCTATACGTGATTTAATGTCGACAACTACCCTCACAAACCAAAAGCCATCCTAGGTAAATCTGCCTTGTGTTAAAAAGGACGACTACTACTAGAAAGTCCAGATAAATTTTTAATTGTAAGCTTAAATGGATGGTTTCGTGTATTTTAATTTGTGTCGTATTAAAAAAAATAAAATTTCAAATCAGTAGTACGGATACCTGCAGACGTCGATATCTGCAGTAATATGATGAAGGCCCGAGGAAAAGTTTCAAAATTGAATTCCGCGTCAATCCCAGCATGGTAGGCCACTTTTCCAAAGAAGGACATGCCAACAATGGAGTACACGAAAGCCGTTAGGAAGAGAAGGAGTGCCACATTGAACAGCGCTGGGAGCGAGACTATCAATGCAAAGAGGAGAGTTCGAATTCCGCGGGCAGATTTGACCAATCGGAGAACTCGACCCACACGGAAAAGGCGCACTATTCGAACGGTTGTCGGTGGGACTGGAAGCGTAGTAATTAGGTCTTCTAATCCCCAGCCTAGGAATAAGTGTTAAAACACGACGATTTATTTCCACGTGACTTAATCTGGGGAGTACGTGCAAGTATTCAGGGCTTTAGTGATGAATGGGCTCAGACATCTTTTTTGTGGTTAGGAAGGTCAAATCCAAAATTCTGGTTGATGGGTGTGCGGACTGATCGAAAATCAGAGTTCTTTGTAAATACACTGGAACAAATGCTAGTTGCGTCTTCTTATCATCTCTCCTGCAGGTGTAACGGTTTTGGTCGACCCCCTGACTTGGGATTTGCAGTACTCAATTCTCCATGACTTGTAATAGCCCATAGAAGAATTGGGTTTAGAAGAAGTTTGAGTGATTGTGGGTATGGAAGCAAATGGGTTTGGGTATATTAATTGATATTTGAAAAAGATTATATGCTTTTAAATGGTTAACTACTGTTGATATGACGATTGAGCTTATCCCATGAAAGTACCTACGAAAGTTTCTTGGACTTAACATTGATCATAGAAGGCGTAATTGTCTTTTCAAAATACGGATTTTAGCAGAGTCTGTAGTTAAATAGCAAAAATTCGTTAATTTTCCTTGTATTTAAATTTTGGTGGTAAGTACTTATTATGTGAAGGTAAGCATATTAAAAGTTTGACAACTGGTGATTTAAAGTGTTTGGTGAATGATAATATGTAGAAATATTCTCACATAATGCACTTCGCCGTTTCTTTCAGGAGCTTAAAAGACCTTTACGTAGAATATTGAATACTTCAGTGCTGTTTTCGACTATAAAGCTGGATATTTCTCCATTTCCCTAATTCCGGAAATTGAAGTTTCTTGTCATGCATTTGTTTACCACTGAAATTAATTGCAGTTTTAAAGTATATACATATACTTAAGGTATATATATGACTGCATTTTGTAGCCTGTCAAAATGGATGATTTTTTTAAAATTTGACTATAAAAGGTACCTAAAATAATGTTCATACAACAGAAATCGCCTATCTACCTGTTGGAATACCTTCACCAAACAGACGCCCATACGTAGTTTGTGGAAATTATTTAAGCAACGAGACCACTTACAGATGAGAGAAAAGATGACAATGCAGCAGTCGAATACGTTCCAGGGGTCTTTAAAATAGTACCAGCGTTGACCGATGAGTTTGAGGGCAAACTCACAGGTGAAGATGATGATGAACACCTTGTTAACTATTTCCATTGCTTCCTTCATAGATTCAGGCTGGCGATGGTGCTCAAAACACATAATTAACGTATTTAGGCCAATCATTCCAAGAATGAAGAGGTCGAACTTTCGGTTTGAGATTATTTTGAAGATCCACCTCGAAACTAAGAACTAAAACCACAGTAAGAGTAAAACCAGCGTCACTGGGGTAAAGCAGGAGATAGACAATGACGACTTAGACAAAACTTGATTGTGGTCACCAGGGTTTTCAGTATTAATGAAATACCAGATTGATTATCAGCGAATACCAACTAATTTGTTGCTTTTGTTCTATTTGTTTTGCTGTTGAGGGTGGTTTATTAAAAAAATGGAGGCTGGGTTCCGCAATTTAGCGTGAAATTTGAATGTATTGAGGACTTGATTATGTGGACACGTATAGACATGTGCACATAGAGACCTACTCAAGATCAAATCAATGACCTGGCGGTTAGTTGTATACCTGCAGAGCTCTGGCCTAGCATTATTAAACAAGTTGGTGTCCATTTTCCCATAAGCGATTCATCCAAAGTCAACTTGAATAAATCGAAAAATTGATCTAATTAGAAACAAGGTACTTTAACCTGTTATGGTTCCTTTGTTTCTGTGGTAATAACTTACAAATCCTAACCGACACTCAGCTCAAAAATTTGACTCCAAAACGACTCTGGCGAAAGCGTGTTTCTATCCCTGCAACAAGATTTAATCAATCTAAGATCCCTTCCACGTTAATTCCGAAGTAAATCAAGTGGTTTGTGGCTCTTTTACTGATTTTCTGGCCCAAAAAGAATTTACAGTCCCAAACATCCAACGTTCCAATATAAACCGATAAAAAGAATGTTTTGTGTTTAAATTCTCCATCGGTTTTAAAGAAGATCCAGATTCCTGGATGACAATCAAAACTTCGAATGATTTTTCCCCCGAACTAACTGATTTGTGTTGTGATATCCAAAACCGTGTTTCAGATTGTTATGATGACCATAAAAATGTAGTCCAATTAATATTGATCTGGAAATCGTGTCTATATAAAGGAACAGCATTACTGTAGGCGATTTGTCAACTTAAACAAGGAAAGGACATCACACGAAGTCCACATTAAGCAGACTACTTTGTCTTCCCGACAAAACAACATAATTATATCATAAACTTGGAGTCAAAACAAATGGTGACTCTTGGATTAATGGTTGGTGGAAGATTATTACGCCGCCTGGTTATCGGAACAACCAAACGCATATTAAGTGCTGCAAATTAATGCATATGATGTGGCTGCTTGGACGTCAATAGCTTATCACAGCTACCAACCCTAAGAACATGCTCTACATTAAGGCAAACACAATTTTGGGTCTCATGTATAATACCACGACGACGTCAGACGTTACCTTGGGCTTGGGGATTGGTTTCTGTGGCGTCCTCCTCACCATCTTCTTCATGGCTTGATAATACTTCTTTTGATCCTCAGTCATAAACAACTCCAGAGATCCACCTGCCTATTTTCCACAGGGAAGAAAGCGGCAATTATGCCTGCAAACTCGTAGCAAGGTAACAAGCAGAAATACAACTTCACAGAACACAAATGTAATCTTAAAAATCAGCATTAGAAATTAATTGGTGTCGCGTTTGAGGCAAGCACATTTTAGGATACATCGGTCATTGTTGGAGATCCGGAATTCCCTGAGATGGGTCATCGTCGATTTCGTCATTGTTTACGCAAATTCCCTAACATCTGCATTAATCAGTTTTCATCCATTAGGTCAAGGTAACCCTTCACTTTATTACAGAGACAATTAAAGCTCCCTGCACGAGCTCTGGCCTTGTCTTGCATTAGCGTGAGAAGGCCGGTTCTAGCATCAGACAAGGGATCTGGTACTATTTATTTGAGTGAATTTTTTCGCGGTTACGCGTAAATGTTAGAGTCGGAAAATAATAGCTTCAGGATCTTATTGTACTTTTTTTCTAGAAAAAATGCGGAAAAACGTTTATTGTGCCAACAAAGTTTTTATCAATTTATTATTCACCCACAAATACCTACCGTGCCCTCCTTGTGATTTTGTACCACTTTCATGCATTGGTCCAAAGGAATTTTACAAACGAATCACGGAAACCAACAAAGGGACTGTCGTATCTAACTAGGCTTTAGTATGGCGAAATTCCGGCATGGATTCAATATATTTATTGCTGAACGGGGACCACAGTTTTGGAATCATAAGGGCCTAGTCTTGCAAAGGGATGCGTTTAAAAAGGATCAACGCTTCCAATTAACAAGTCTTTAACTGTCTGAAGCTACTCCACCGCCATGGATTTGATTGATTCTCAAGTAAGAAAAATTTCGGACCCAGAAATGCTCTAAATCCCACCATTAAAAAGGGCGAACTTAATCCATCACTGGCACATATGTGTGAGACAAACACGTGATTACCATGGCATGCACAAAGCTAATAAGCTCTATTTTGCGGTTGTTCATGCCTAATTCGATGACATGGCCCGAGATCGGTGTAGTACTCAATCGAAACAGACAACGAAAACTTCAAAATTGTTTTTTTTTAATGTTCACAGTTGGAAGTAAAAAAAAATAAACTAAGGATTCACATTGGTGCCTATTTTGATATTACTATTACTTTCAAATGAAACTTACCTTTTTCTTTTGCATGTTAAAGTTCTGAATAATCACGCCAATGAAGAGGTTTAGAGTGAAAAACGACCCGACAATGATGAATAGCACGAAGAAGAGGTAGTAGCCAGTAGCGTTGTTGTACACGGGCTGTTGGTCATACTAAAGTTTAGCAGAATCATAGAACAGGTGGACGCATAGTAGGTGCCCCTTAGTGTAATTTTATGCTCACCTCTGTTATGTCAACGGCGTCAGACATAATTTCGATCCATCCCTTAAAGGTTGCCTGGAAAAAAATCGAGAATAGGCATTGCAACATAGATAGGCAACATGTTGAAATGACAAGTTTAAGGAATTTTGGACACTGATATTTAAGTCCCCAGGTCGAACCAGAAGCAAACAGCCTTCCTGACAGTTTGCGGTTCTGTCAACTCTTCTATGACTATCTAACTTAAAACAAATATATGCAGTAAGAAAAGTACACATTTTAATACACTACTAGCCTAGGGGTGGTGATTCATTCGAATTCAGTAGAGCATACTAATAGATGCGAGAGGTGACTTAGCTTGTGGTCTTTATGTGCTGATAGTTCAAGACAGACATCCAACTCATGAATTGAGGTACGTATGTAAATAACAGTCCTTCACTATGTTTGGACAGGAGCGCTGCAGTTGAAGGTGTCAAGATCATGCAGACTCATCCAAACAACCTGAATCGTGAGGTAAGCGACGACGTTTGTCGGATTCTAATTAATACCTTCCTGAGGTCAAATCACCTTTTCCCATAGGTGACACACAATACTTTTCATCACACCCCAATCTGGAAATTTACATTTCCCACTCCGAAAATTAATAATGCCTCATGTTGTCAATATTTTAATCTCATTATTAACTGATTGCGACAAGTAACAGGCAGGAATGAGAATAGATTCGGTTATTCAGGATTGAAATTTGCTTAAAATTAATTCCTCATCAAAAACTCTCTCGGAATGTGTTTGTACAAATAGGGTATTTGATCGCGACTTGATTTTATTACCCTTTTCCTGGGCAACACTTTGAACTTTTCGTCTCTAATAGTTAGGATGATTTCGCTTTTCATAGTGTTAACGCATTTAGTTAAACTGGCATTTGAGTTTTACATTTTACTAGTGAATTATGAGCGTTGACGAAAGTTAACTTGTGCAAAATTTCGCTTGTCGAATGCCCAAACTGGGAATTTGCCCGGCTTAGGAAAGGTAACTACTAAAGTCCATGATTTGGGTCGTCAAATAAAACTTTATTGATTTCCATAAGCTAACTTTACTTAAGTCAGACAATTTCTTAACTGGAAATTTGGTGTGGGTTTTTTAAATTTATACACAAATTAAACAGAATTCATGCACACAAATCTTATAATATGTAGACCAATGGAAGCCATTAGAATCATGATATTTCCCAATGTCATTTGGATATTATCATTTGACGCAAATTGCTGCAAAACGCAGGTTACAAATAAGATATAAGGTATCAAAATACCAAACCTACCACTTGTAACAAAGCCAAGAAACCGTTGGGAACATTGTCGAAATTTATCTTTGAGTTATCCCAACTAACGTTTTTGTAAAGTTGTTTATGAAGTTCGCAGACTGAGCGATTGGGATACTGTTCTGCAGGAAGTCTCTCACCAGTAGCTTCACTCACGCATTTTCTGAATTTTCCACCTATGGCAAAAATGGAGAAAATTTTATCCACCAAATCAAATGATACGGGCGGGCTTAGTCAACTTTATTCCTCTACGACAGCAAAAACCGTTTACATGTTGCATGCGAAATTATCCACTGCAGAAGAGAACTGGGTTGTAAGGTGTGCTATAATTAGTCACTACGCGAAGAAGTATCATTTTAAATAGCCATACGTACACTTTGAATTAATGTTGTGCCATTGTGGTCGTTTTTATGTGCAGAAAAACAGTGGCTGCAATAAAGCTCACCTTCCATGTGATCGTTTTGTACAAGAAGGTTCGTACCATTTAGCATACTTAGATAACATTTTTAGTGGCTTGACCGATTAAGTCTTGACAAGCCAACGTTCACAATGTCAAAAAAGAGTATCCTGCGATCTATTTACTAACGCATTGATTGCTATCCAAGTTAAAATTTGGGACCAGAAGGGAATGATTATTAAACTTTGCTCTATTGATCCCACGAGACTAAAATTTTTCAATGGAAAAAATTCAAGGGGATACTTTTAGGTAAGAAGCCACAACGAAAAGTCTTTTTTGAAGCGTGTGGTGACCCATTGAAGACGTTATATAACTTTGATCTAGAAAAATTTTACGTTTGATTAATTTTAGAGTTATGACAAATATCACAACCACTGGTTAACAAATGTATAGTGTTATCGAGACACGAGGTACCCCTGAAGACACTGATATGAGAAGCAAATCAATACATTTGGGAGAGCCACAATTATCTAAAATGCACATTAGTTAGTTCCATAAAAGTGCTTATTTATCTAATTAAAAAGTGCGAGAACAGGCGAATAGTGACTTTCATTTGTTCCTTTATATCACTGGTCAGTGCCACAGCCATCCGTTCTCTGCACAACCAGTCAAGTTACCGGAGTGGTACAATGGGTGCCAACAAAAATATTCCGTCCACTTTATAGCATTTTGGTATCTCCATTAAGCCTGTTGTTAACTTTTTAAATAGATATAAACGTTGGAGCTTTCGTGGTGCTCTCCAGTTTAGTAAATTAAATGCATTGCTTAAAAATTGCTCTAGTTAGGTGGCCAAGTGTTCTTTTCCGTTCCGCTACCAAAATCTATACATATGTAAAGTGATTTATTGAGACACACTTTGGTTTTGGGATAAACCTATCTACAACGGATTAAACTAAATAAATTGGTGTAAATATTAACAAAGTGAAGCCTGTTTACTAGCACATCAACTCTTCACTCCTTGCTAAAATGCAAAATGGTCAACTTCACTCATCGGTGAGTTAAACATGGCTCGAAAACGCTTAAGAATTAAGCAGAAGGAAGTTTTAATAGCGACATTTAACTGTATATCCCACTGCGCTTACCTGAAAGGTTTAAAGACGAATATCAAAATAATGCAGCCATTAATAAAGTACAACCAGAATATCGTGTTTAAATCTGGCATCACATGATCTCAGTCTTTAAAGGAACTTCAGAGAAGTTTTGATGTTAAATCATTAAAATTTGACCTTTTTATTTTACATTAAATTCCTGAATGAAGCAGGGCTTTAAGTGCTTTTGCGTAGTCTGGAGTTATTTCAATGTTTTCGTGAAGCAATAAGCAACTTTCGAACTCAAAAATTCCTTAACACAAGTTGTGAATGATTACATGTTTGCCAAAAAAGCTGCCCATGATGTCAGCATCCTGTAGCAGGTAGCACATTTTGTAATAAATTGCATGAAGTCATAATGGACGCATGGTTAGGTTAAACTGTACGATATTTTAAAATTTGTAAATGTATACACAAACCTCCGCTAAGAACCACATTGTGAGATTTGACACGCTCACCTAGAAGGCTTCTGCTTACAATTAAAAACATTTTTTGTGAACCTGAAATAAGTTTGCCAGTGAATCGCGATTAATGGCCCTTTTTTCAAGTCTGAGAAACAGAGGAACTTGGGTGGAATAGGCGACTTGGCACTAATGACACGGAGAACTTAGAAAAGGGTTATTTTGCATTGGGTGATGGTCCTGTCGTTAATTCGATTATATGCGGACATCATTTTGCTGTGCATCAAAAGCCAGATTTAAGGATAGCCAGTTATCCAACTCACGTGTAGTGATTGCTCATTTAAATGTTGATAGGAAAAAGGGCAGACTCACCAAACAGTTGCATTCCCATAATAGAACAGATGAGCCAAAGTACTAAACAGACCAGCAAGACATTGCAAATCGAGGGAATTGCTTGCAACAATGAGTTCACCACCAGCTAAAGTAAAATGATTGAAATTGAAGGAATTAATATCGTCCTCTTTCATTTCAAGAAACAGTGCAAAAATGTCGCTGATAAATATATACGAAATTAACCATGGCAGACTTCCAGTTCAAAGTTAAAGCTACCGCGTTTTGGCGGGTGAAGGTCGGGAAGGAAAACTCGACTTGCGTTCGATAAATAGCATCATCCTGTCTGCACAAAACAACACAAAAATGCTAAATCGACACATAACTTAGGTAAGTTACTCTTTTCCGATTACGCAAATGACACGTGAGCATTCACGTGATTCCGTTTTTCATAAAATGCACTGACTACTTGAAAATGTAAATAGCTTGAACGTACACGCATGCCCTCCCAGCGCGAAAGTGCTCGGAGAGGACGTAGGGCGCGCAGCGTCCGCATCGCCTTGAATGAATTCATGCTCGACTTTCCGTCCTCTTTGCCATAGCTCATTATCATACTTGCCACTGCAATCTATCGCGTAAATCACCAAAGACATTACATACAATCTTGACATGTAGAAACTTTCCCAGGTGCCTGTCGGCTTACAGAAAACCAAGTTGGTTTGGATCAAAGACACCATAGTGCAATTTTGATAAACGAGTCCAAGTTGTCATACACCGCTGAACATTAGGGTGGAATACCAGCAGGTGGGGCTCTATTTAAGAGGGTAATCGCAAATTGGCGGTAGACAAACTTCAGATCACCTACGATATTTGCAAACATCAGGTCGAAGACTACTAGAAGAAACATGCAGCAATGCTCTTGACAATTTGATGCTGCTGTTGACTTATCTATTTTCATTGGTGCCAATAAATAATCAGGGAACAGTAAAAGTTACCTTCTGCAGATGCAGTTACATTTTATACAAATCTCTGCATGACATATTCTGAAAGCCATATTCCGTATATCAATGCCGAAATTTGTGAAATTAGAACTAAAACTAAATAATTTGGCTGTTTTAAGCCCTGTGATAATTTTAAAACTATTAATTTTGCATTTTAATGTCAAATTAATTTTAAAAAGACTACTGCGTTGCTAAGCAATTGAAGTATTTAGAAAGCAAGTGACCACTGTTCCTTCCAATCGTTCGATGTAAAAATCACTCTCTTTTAGTTGACTAATAATGGCGTAACAAAATATCGGCTTAGTACAAAAAAAATTATGTATGCGATATTAAGTTAAGAAATAGACAGCCATGATTAGGACAGCGTTAATTCAAGATAAAATCCTTTAACATTGGTATAAATTACCAAATGTGATGTCCAAACTATACTAATATACAAGCTTTTAAAAAAATGTTGATTAAAGACTTCAATCCAAAATAAAAAATTACTTCTGCGCTTATTAGACACGTGCAAATGTCAATTGATTTAAGTCCCATGAAAGGCCCTTAGACAAATGCGAACAAGGCGTAATGAAAAATAACAAATACTACAAAAGTTCGAGCCACAATACCTTATGAGAAGTGATAAACCGTTAACAAGTATTTGATTAGATCCCTAGCACCCTGAAATGTTTTTTTAATTACCCACTCAAAGCAAAATAACTGACGAAAATAGGAAAAATGTAGAAAATGACGTGTCCTCTGCCAGCCTTACTAGTAGTTAGAAATAGAAAAACTCAATCTAGATAACTCAAAAATTCACAATGTCATTATGCTTTTGAACTGCTATAACGACAAAATCTGTTCTACGGTCTTAGACAGCATTATATTAAGTTTTAATTTTGTGTGCATAATTTAACAAACCGCGTTTTGTGCCTCTTGGACTAAATTTATTTGCCTGTGTGGTTTAATCAAAGATAAAAAATCCAAACTTAGAATGGCTTGGAATATATGGCCGCCGATTATGCGGAGTTTCTTCAGAGAATAAGTAACAAAAACCTTGAAGGCGATGCTATTACTCCCTCAAATTAAAAAATCAGCCCTGAAAAGCCTTTCGCAGTTCAGATATTCAATGCAACATGAAAGAAAATTCCCGTTATTCACTGATTTGTATATTTGAGCTTAATTGTGCTTCTTCAATCAAAGTACTTTATTTTGGTCTTTTATACAACACTCATCATTTCTTTTCGAAACTTGAAATCGATGGAATATTTGTCAGTTTCCGTCTAATGCTGGTCAACTCTTTTTCTTCCTGTTGCTACCTTAGTAATGTATCTATTAAAGGAATTAATACGTCCTTTAATCATTCACAGAAGGCCGATTCACAATGTAGCATTTTCCGCCGGTTTGTAGATTGGTATTAGACTCGGCAACAAAACCAACAGTCTTTAAGCTATGACTTAAATACTCATTATGATAAATGCCAAATTTCAATGTGTTTTGATCTTCCAGCTCAATTTCGGTAGTAGATTAAAATACCAAAGGAATAGCAATATACCAGGGAGGAAATTTACATGCAATTTGCATTCCTAGCAAATAACATAAAAACGTTAACATATTATTACTACACACAGTTGGTTTTTAAAGTCAATCTTACCACTGACAACGACTTTTCATATATTTTTAAAATTTGCGAGACTGATAGCACAATGGTCTGTGTTTTCTTATAGTCCCATTGTAGCCGTTAGTTTGCTTTAGTCACTCAGCAAATTGAATCCCATCTGAGTAAAGTGTGGATGGTCAAAAGAAGGGCAATTATAATTATGTGTTAGCTAATAGTAAATCATCAGCTTTAAACTTTATTGGTTTATCAATGGGATTTTCTAATCCATGGAAGCAGCTCGGCTGAAACTGAAAGATGCAAACTATTACAGAATCAAGCTTAGAAGAGAATAGTGCTTTGGGGGAGGTGTGCCGATTGAACCTAGGAGGAAAAATGTATGGTTATCCTCGTCTTTTAGGTTCTACAAACACTGCACGATTCAGAAAACTTGGAATTACAAAAGTTAAAATTGATTTGTATTTTTTTCAGAAAAAAATAAATAATGGGATTTCTAAAGCAACATCTATATGACCAGGCGCATGAGCATGTTTATAAGATCGCATTTTTGTAACAGCTTTAAATGCTGTACGCGCGTTATATTTTTGTATTCTCCACTCGTTAACATAAAAGTCGTGCTATGCGCTTACCGTAACAATGGAGAAATCAAGCCAACACCAGGCATCACTGAAAAATTTTCGGAGGCCATAAGAAAGCCACTTAAGAATAATTTCAGTCAGGAAGATAAAAGTAAATATTTTGTCCATGTAGTCAAGCGCCAGTTTTAGCCTGGGCCTTGAAGGTAGATGCTTGTCTTCAAGTGCCTACAATGGAACGCAGCAAAGGCAGCTTTTGGAAAAACGTGCTAAACACTTGTTAAAAGAGTTACTGAAATAAACCATAGTCTAGTGACCATGGACACCCAAATCTAGGAACTCGTGGTAACCAGATGAGATTATCACCCGACCTCTGAATCTCCACCTATGTAGAATCACGAGATCCAGCCTATTGACGTATTATTGAAGTCATTTACGGGTGTGACACTGTTATAAATGCGGCGATTTGATGTACAATATGCATTACGGATCATGATGTCACTCTTACGAACAGAAACGTTACAGCCTGTGTCTTCGCCTATGCAACCCACACGATGGCTTTTGATGAAGAAAAAAACCATTGCGAAATTTTGTCTTTATCGTACAGTGATTGAAAATTAGACAGATAAAATGAAGATTGTTAGTCGATTAGAGTAAAACCATGGAAAATAATCATCTCATTTGCATATCGAAAACTTCCAACCAATTGAAAAACTAAATCCAGTCAGAGCATTGAAACTTGCAAAAAATGTCTAGTTCTTAAATAACTTGGCACATTTGCTTAGCAAGGATAAAAATTTGTAGTCAAGCGTCAACTATGTTCAAAAAGAAGGTTTATAACCCATGATAAGGATGATGACATCTAGGTTTTAATTTGTCCAAAACATCAAACATTGGATGGCAAATAATAATAAAGTTTCTAACTTCTCTGTAGGAATTTGCGAATTAGTGGCTGCAGTTAGTTAGAAAAATATATTCAAACAATAACATCCAAATGTTAAAAAGTGCGGAGTTTTTTACTGGTCCAGGCCACTGAGTATGCAAACCCGGAAACTATACCTACAAATATTTGGACAACATACCAGAGTTGCACTGCTGATGATGATCATTAAGAAAATAAAGCCCTCGAAATATCGATTTTCCACGATGCAATAGCAGCCTTGTCTGAGGCGTCTCCAGCCTCTTCCCACTTTTGAGTCCAGTATCCCTCGGAATAAGGGACTGATTCTCCGCCAGATCCATGGGGCACAACAATCTTCCGGATGTTCCCAATAGGCCATATCCACTGATTCAGCTTGTAGCAGCTTTACAACGCAGTTCATTTCCTCGCTCTCCACGTCTTCAAGGAATTCTATCCTCTGGCTACCAGACGCAGAGACGGTTTGTTCATTTTCTTGAGAGTGAGGGTCTGGGGAACTAAAGTACCATTCAAGAAGCTAATTCACCTTTCCGATTAACACTTGTCTTTAAGTGGATCACTAATGAATCGTACGCTGAACCCACACAAACTTATCGGTTACTGAATCACACTAATGTCCGAACTGAAATCAACACAAGACACCGTGGTCTTGCAAGGAGAGGATTCATTTCCATTCATTTAATATTATTTTTGCATCGCTTCACGGCTGACTTGTTCTTTAACAGTAACATGAAACTGTGATCCCAAACCAGCTGTGGTTCCTAAACACAGCAAGCCAGCACGTCATCATTGCACTATTGAAAACCACAGAAGCAAACTGAAATAAACTGCTACTTGCTAAACTAATCCAGCTCAGCTGAAAGTATTAATTCAAGTCAAAGTAGCAAGGTACATGTTTCGTTAAAAATTTAAGCACCTAGTGTGTGATAGGGCTTTTGTGTGCAAATGAACAAAAATCACTAAATTAGCCTAGACAAAGGTAACACGACTTACATTGTTGGGTTAATTGGCACATTTTCAGGTGTGCCTCCGCAGCTATGCGATTTGAACTTATTTTCTAGTACTAAAAGCAAAAAAATCCTTGGGTCAGTACTCAAGATTTACACACTTTTAACTACCAAACCAAAATAAGGAAAAAAGACCATTGCTCTATTCCGAGAAACTTGTCTAGATTTCAGGCAAACAAGCCATCTGGGTTAGTAAAATTAGATGAAATCCTAACATTTGGTATCAGGAATGCTTTGGAACTCCAGTCCTTATAGTGTGCTAAATAAAAAGCTCGTTACCTTGCAAAGAAACTCCCCGATCTAAGGAATTATGCGGGACAACGCCAAGATCTTCAAACTGATTGGATTTGATTCCAGAAATCTCCACGAGCTGAGTCTCTTGCATAGGCGTTTCTAATCTACCGGGTAAAAAACATTACTTGGATGCGTTTATAATATGGTTGTGCACATATATGTAGGCATATACATGGCTCAGTTGTTAAAAAAGTTTGCTTCAAGGACTTTTTAAAGATGATGCAAACAGTACTATAGTCGAGGCGTAAAGATCATAGGTAGCAGAAAATCAAGACGCGTAGAGCCTGACAAAATTGTCGCACATGTGTGAAGACGATCCACTTAAAGCGGTCTTCGAGTTCATTAATTCGTTCCTTGAAATCTGCAGTATAGTTTAATAAAGGATTCAATCGAGCTCTCTGAGCAAGCAGCAGCGATAAAATATTTCACACATGCAACAAATGCACTTTTCAGGGTTTCGTCATGAGTCATGGATTTTTTGCGCTTAACTGAGAGCCAATTCAAATGGAATCAGATGTGAGCCTCGCAAGGTAGGATTGTAGCGGATTAACAGCGATCGCGCCTGAGTGAATCCTGGTTACCGACCTGACGGTGACAATGACTCATCCCCTTTTTCCATTGGTTACTGTATCCGAAGCCTGCCATCCGTTCACTCATCCACACACTAGGACACACGAGGCTGGCGTGACGCTAATAAACTGTCGTGTCCTCTGTCGCCTCTCTTTTTCCACTCTTCTCGGGTTGTTTCGGGCTGTTAACTAGAGGGCTGTAAGGTAGTTCTAAACTCTAGCCACTGCAGGACAACGTTATGAGTCGACGTAGTATGAGCAATGAGTTCCTGTGAGGTGACAATAGAATCAAGAAGACAAAATTAACTCGACATTGAATGTTTCTTGTTTTGATTAACATACACACGTATATTATACCACTTTGACACCGCCAACCTAAGCGTTACAGCAAATATTAGTAAATAAAGGTCATATTAAACACATCCATACTTTGATGAAATTGCAAACCTTTGAACATGGTCTACTTGTCATTGCACAGCACTTTGTTATTGATAATCACAAAGTTGCAAAATGGATGGCCATGTTCAACGTAGTACATGCATCAGAAAACGACCACTTCAGTTCATAGTCTTATTTTTCTAAACCGGGATGACAGTCGTATTAGCTTAAAAATCTGTCATGAACAGGTCATTAAAAGACATTATTTGGATTCCTCTTCGTAATTTGAATGCCGGTAAGTTAGCGGCTAACAGCTGTCAATATTTTTCTAAAAATCTAGCTTATTCCGGAAAGACACAAACAACAAATACTGACCTACTTCTACGGCAAAAGCGTTGGGCAAGGCACGATAAGAGCTTTTGAACATGTAATTTCATCCAAATGGTGAAGCGATAAATGCGATCAAGGGCCTCCTGCAGTTTACTGTGGTCACCTGAATCCTCCTCACTCTTCTGAAAGCTTTCAGCACTGAACGAGCTCAGAAGAAGAGCCAAGAATAGACTCAGCACCTGAAATAGTGCATTACACAGTAATTTTCGGGCCACTTGTCGGCAGCTTCCGTACCCCTTGTCAGTGGAATATTTGAGGAAGGCTTTTGTGACAATACCTATTATTCTTAATCAGCATGAAATATTAGCAAAAAGCTGTTGTGTTTACAAAAAAAGTTATGTATTTCTCCCTCAGTTTCCTGATTGCACAAAGTAAACCGGGTCATTTTGCAGTGGTGGTAGATTCGGGACCGGTACAAGGTGGCACAATTGTTCTTCGTCTGAGGTGGATGTGGGTATTTATAGAAAACTGTCTCTATGGGAACAGCCGTCTGCTTGTGCGAAACACTGTTATTGACAAAGTTTATTTTATGTCCCTTACATTGACCTGTTAGAGTAATCTTTAGCGAATTATAAAATGCGCATTTATCCTAGTAAAATCGAACATTTATATTTTGCCAGTGTTCGTAAACAACAACTACATTGACCAGTCAAACGCTATCCACCAGGAGGCCGTTGCCGGCAATTCAAACTGTCTGGGTGTTATTCATTACGATTTGACATTGTCCAAGTTTTATGCTAAGAACATGACGACAGCAGAAGGCAAGCATTGAAAATTAAATGCGAGTCTACTCAAACAAAGGAAATTGTGAAAATGCTCCCATAAAGTTGCCAATTTAAAAGTTAACACGACTCTCAAGTTGTAACTTCTCAAATGCCTTTTACAAAGGATAATATTAGTGCAACCAATGCAAAATGAGGTGTAAAACACAAACCACAGCCAAAATCTTACATTGGTGAGCCGAGTACTAGCGTGAGTAATTAAAAACACTTACGAAGGTATAGGGTGGCATTTAATTTAAACCGTTATTTTGATAGGTCTCTGAGTGTCGTAAAATCGAAAATTGCATTCAAAACACTTAAAATGCATGCTAAATAAAATTATGTCTTTAGATGACGGCATTACCACTGTCCATTACAGATTAGTGTTAAAATGTTTGCTCCACGAGCCTAGAAAAGAATGAACGCAGCACACGAAAGAGGTGCACAGAGCTGCGAAAGACGTACCACCAAGTTTCCCAACACCATCGTCATGAGGAAGAACACCGTACAGCTCCATCCATTTACCTCGAGACAATCCCACATTGATTCTATCCACTCGCCACACAGGACCCGGAACACGATCATAAAGGAATGCGTGAAATCGCAGAAGTTCCAGCGAGGCACTTTTCCGCCACGCTCCGGGAACCGCGTTTTGTTGGTGAATTGTTGGTAGCTCTCGCCGAAGAGTGACATTCCGAGAACAGCGAAGACGAAAATTGAGATCATCAGGACAGCAGTTAGATTTCCGAGTGCATTCAGTGTCCTTGCGACAATTGAGAACAATAGCTTCATCGTTTGCCAAGATTTGGCCAACTTAAAAACCCGTAGCTTGAAAAACAAGTAAAAACGCGCAAATTTAAGGATTATGCAATTAGTTTCTCGCATTTGTTTAAAATTGCGCAACATACTAAACGGAATGCACGGAGAATGGACAGCCCGCGAACGTTGTCGAGGGGAATTTCAATGAGGCTGAACAAGACGACAACAAAGTCAAAAATATTCCACGAATCAGCGAAGTATTTCTTTGGACCAAGAGCCACCAATTTTAAGACTCCCTCGACAGTGAAAGTTGTTGTGAAAAACTGAAAAATATATTCAAAAATAAATGCGACTTCATTTCATTAGAACTTGACCTAGTCTCTTTTCGACTATTAATTGTTCCTCTGAAAATGTTTTTAATTATATTTTATTCAAACACAACCATTGAATAGGCAATAACTTTTAAATTTACAATAAGTAAATTCCCATGAAAGCTTAAGGAGAAGCTTATTAATGAATTTATAGACGTAGAATAACGCTATAGTGCCCATCCTTTAGGACCTAAGTGATAATTTTGAATTGAATAGTTTCCATAAATCAGACCATCACATCTGGGCCCAGAATTCATTTAAATACAGGCAGCCTGCCTGATCCTGTTATAGATAGTTAATGCTACTCTTATTTTTGACAAGTACAGGTACAGCGAAACCGCAGTAATTAAGATGCGACCATGGTGGTTATGCTTTGGTTTTACCAGTACACTAACGTCCCTAAGGACGAAGGAGTTATTGATGAAAAACTGCTGCTTAATAAGAACTACGACACAAACATTACTGGAAAACTTACATAATTGGCAATTCTAAGCACAGTAGCCAGCGTGTCACCCTTCTCTGGTTGATCAAGCGCCATGAAAAGCGTGTTGAGAACAATGCAGATGGTGACAAAGAGCTCGATAAAGGGATCGAGGATGAAGTAGCCCACGTACCGTCGAAAAACATAGCAACATGGGCAGCATGTCCATCGACAAAGGGTAGTCTCCAATTGAGTCGAGAGGTAACGGCATATTCGAACAGGAAGACTGCGCTTAAATTCAAAATAGGACTTTTAATAAACGCTTGTGGTTTGCACCAAGCATAAGTCAATTTTAAAAGCAATTATCTAGGGGGGAATCTGCTAACAAGTTTGACAAATAGCACGATCAAAAGAAAGGATTTAAAAATCTAAGACGGTAGGCATTAGCAAGACACAGTAATTCTTAGTCGTATTGAAACGAAAATCACAATTACGCTCAGCAACTGACTGTTGTAAATAAAGCATGCACAAGTCAGAGTAATGCTTCTACGAAGGCCTACGAAGCCATTAAAGTAAAACCGTTTAGATAGGCAGTATTTGTAAGATATGCGCTCTTTCAAAACATGTGGTTGGCTTTTAGGCGGGGTTCAAATTCAATCTGACAGGCTGCTCCAACGTATTCTCTTAATTGATTAATATGAAGTCAAACGTGGTGTAGAATAAAAACCCGCAGATTACATAATTCAAGAGGGCACGTTATTAAGACTTAACAGCCGATTCTGCTTAACCTTCGGTATAGAACAGATAAATAAATTTGTAGGAAAACAGATTTGCACTTCATTGCTTAGCAAAACAGTTTTCGTTGGTTAAACGTCTGTTTTGCTTGAATTTGGTTTCATTAGCAAATGAATTCAGGGCAGAACTAAGTAGAATTCAAATCTAAAGGGAATTTTTTCGTGTTTGTTATTTTAGGGGACAATACATTTGGTGAAACCGTGAACAATTTAAGGAAGTTCCCCAGTTCGGTAGCGAGTAGACAAAACTGGCGTAGTTAAAACTATTGCATAAATGAGGTTTACCGTTAAATGAACGCACTATAAAATGAGTCTGCGGCAAAACAATAGTTATCAGGACTGTACCTGTGTCAAATTTGCATACTTCTCAATTTCGCCAAAATTTATTGTAATTTTATGAATAACACAATGGATTCTGTACAAATAAAAGAATCTTGCTTGATTGTAACAGCTGAAGAACCAGTATTAAAGGCCAAAATGACTCTTAAATCAATGCCAACAAACCAATTAAATAATTAGCTCCAAGACATCAGCTCCATCCTGCCTCTGCTACCATCAGTACCAACAATCAACAAACGGTTTTCAAAAGTAAATATCATTCATTTAGCTGTGGTATGGTTTTCAACGAGGATGAAAAACAATCTCAAATCACTGTCCATTAACCAAACTCACAGGTTATGCAACCTCGGAATTGTTCAATTAGGATAGCTGAAGAAATTAATCAATCAGACTTCATTGCTTTACTGCTGTAAAATTACATCTGAAATCGAGGATTGGATAGTCTGCAGCATGTAACCAAGTTCCACCTTCATACGTTTTATACTACGCAATAGTGATTACGCGCTTTTAATTTGTAATTTCAGTGATATTTAGCCAAATAAATCGGGCAAAAATACGCATTAATATAGGGAGACTAAGTCCCTTTTGACACACATACGTACACTAACCTCCTTACAACATTCTGGGTGTTCCGGTAGACTTTTACGTCGTCCACAGAGGTTGGCAAAAAAACTTTTTCTTAGTTTATTTTGTGCAGCAGGTGGCGCAGGTCCGTCCTGAACGTTTGCTTTTGCTTGGGAGCAATATTTCCCCTCAAAATGAAACGTACTGTTTTTGATTTCTACCGTAGATTTTGAAACATGAGGAATCGAAAACTGTTGTCTTAAGTAAACTGATCCACTATGGTTAGGTTCCTCTAAAAACATCACAAAATAGTTAGGGCAAGACGAGTTACTTCTGAGGCTGCTTCAAATTAGAAATTAGGTGTTAATAAACATTTATTTATTTATTAATGCAATAAGGATTGCATATGCGACCAAGTAGGTTATTTGAATGAACGATCTTGATTGACAGAAAGTGCATACCAGCTGATACTGAATATTATCAAATCATGAATCATGCTTCAACAACCATCACAAGCTAATTTGCTGGTGACTAAAACAAACCTGAATATTTTAACGAATTTACCGGATGAGTAGTAAAGCGCTTTTCAGTAATGCACACCAGCTTCTTTGTCAGCTGTCAAACTGCACCCGGGAAGGAAATGTAACAGTAACACAGAATGTGACCAAACGGAAATTGTCTTCATGTGAGCTGGTCTATTTCATCGAAATAAATAGGCATAAATTCACAAAGCAGCTGCCTGTAGGCAAATAATCTGGCTGTATATTTAGACATAACCTGTTTTTATAACCCTTAGTTGGAACTAACAAAATGCGCTGCTTGAGAAAAGGGCCTGGCCAATAGTTCTCAAGTTAACCCTTTTTCATAACTGAGGGATTGAGGTGGGCTTAAGGAACTTCAGAACGCAAAAATCCCCAGCTTCTTGTATTAAAAAGGAAAGCTATCAACTCTTAGTCTACAATCCAAGATGTTCGGGTAATGCTCACATCAAATTATTTTTGTTGGGAAATATTTTGCACAAATCGACGACCAGATGGGCATGAGTCCAAATTGCCGGACCACATGGGGCAATGAAGCATTCTACGGAGTAAAGCGGCCGACAAAGTGGAGTAATAGATGACTAGCAATTTGGCTTTACAATAACAGCCCATGTGGCAGGCGAAAACCACACCACATAAAACAGCAGCTATACCTTTTTAGCCAAGCAATCCTTTTCAGTGATATTACAATTTTGTCGTTGTTTAGCCACATTAGTAATTCCCGGTCCTGCTAGGTCGTCGGTTAATGGAAATTGTCTTAAACACACTTGAACATAGGGAGACCTAATATAATTTAACTGTCAACTCTCACATGAATTCAAGCACCTGGATTTAGGTATTGTAGAAAGCAACTTCGGCCTCCCCTAAAATATTACTGCTTGTGTAGCATGGTCTAAACATCTCACAGGGACAATTTAAGCCCTCTGCACTTTCTTACATGAAATTACACCCACGCATTACATAACAGCCACCACAATTGTATCCCTTGTGTGATGACCTGTGTCCGGGACCAATGCCTGATCCAGCGAACCCGTGGTCGAAAGAGTTCAGCCAGCTCTCCTCACACAAACCAGTTGATTGAGTAACCAAAGCATGGTCATGAAAAGTTAGCTATGATCACAAACGACAGAAAAAGAAAGCCACCAGTCGCAAAAAATTTACAAAGAATTATGAAGTGTCCTTTTTACCTCATTACATCACTTACCTCATTGGGATGCAAGTGTCACTATTTATACCTGCCCGATAGTAAATTTAAATAATAAACACGAACGAACCTGAAATGTGGTTGTTCAAGGCATTCCAGATAGAAGGCTGCGTTTGAGGAGTCGTGCCACCCAATGCAGGCCTATTTTACAAACAGACATTTAAATAAAGGCCTCGGTGATATCTTCAATCCTGTCAGCCACACAACAAAACACCAAACCTCACACCTAGTGGTTGCTGTACCTCAGTCTGGGCCTTGTGTTCAGTAGAAAAACTGTTGACACAACCCACGAAGTATGATGACTTTTTGAAGGTACTACAAAACCCTATCCTTATGTTCTGAGACAGAAACATACCTGGGCTTACATTTGCAAATCAATGCTTATTTATCAGAGCCCATCAGTGTGCTAATGCTTCTTTGAGTGGACAACAAGTACATCCAGAACCACCATCGCTTGATCTGTCTATTCAATTTACTTTGCAACATTCTCAACCAGTGGGAGCGCGTAGAAGGATTCCACGCTCTGTGTGGAATCCTTGGTTTGATGCGGTGGAAACGACTCCTTACCAGAGTATTGTGTGAAGCCGAACAGTTTAAACAAGGGAACTTCAATGAAATTGCAAAGATTTTGTCCTGTATGTTAGTATTGCCAGCAGTTTTTTGCAATGAATGACAGTTAGGAGAGTAACTTCGGAACCATTCTGAACTCCTACCATTTGCAACAGCAGGAAAATATAGCTGTCATTTATAATCGTGGATCATAGTATTTCGAGTTAATTCTACACGCTATCTTTAAAATTTTCTCTTGCGTTTCTTCGGAAATGTGTTAAACCTTCCCACACCTGTGTGCGAGGTGCCCATCTTCCGAATTAGCGCTGTTCACGGCACTGAGACACACACTGACGTTCAGCTATGAAACTACCTGTGCTGAAAAGTATTCTGAGATGTGTAATTCTTCACACCCCTTGAAATTGGGCTACAAGGGTGGGACCATGTTATTAGTCGGCGTTCTGCTACCGCGAACGGTTCGCTAGTGTATGTGAATCTAGGCACAACTGGCAATTCCGACAGATTTCATGACTGCGAAACTTGTCAGGGTGTTTTTAGTTAACAAGTAAGAAAACAGCCTAAATGGATTATTAGAGACTTTAACGTTTTACGGCTTGATTTGAAAATGTTTGTCTCACTGACATGGTTTACAAATATCCAGGAAACAATGTGACTGGTGGCTTGTTCACTTATTACCTTTCTGCTGAAACAAACGCAGCATTATCTCCCTTCACCGGAGGAGCAGATGCTCTGACCCGCGACCAACACCCGTTGCTTTTTTCATCAATAAAGAGAACAGAGTCGTCGCAAATTGTAGCCGAGGGAACACTTCTTTGATTGCACAATGCGTCAATGCTCTTACACCTTCGAGGTGGCTGGATCTTAGTAGAAATCTACAAACAGGACCAAGTAGTCGGACTATAAAAGAACGGGCAAACAAATAAAGCACCTTCGCGCAAATTCACAATCAAATTGGCCCAAAAATTAGTCAAGACTGGAATGAAGTCAAAGTTGTAAAATTTAGATGTACCTGGCAGCTTGTAAGTAGTCTGTTCCCATTAAAGATGAAATAAACTTGAATATCCGCAGAGGCGATTACTACTGAGAGATCTAGGGTACTGAAATTTTAGCAACATACAATTAATATCGAAGGTCAATCACTAGTTATGTTTACAAGCAACAACGGACCACTTGATAAATTCACCTTAGTTTTATGTGTTAAATCCCACAACCCGCAAATGGGCTTCAAAATTTCGGGACCAAAAATATTATAACAATCTTTGGAAGGCATTTCAGTTTTCGCATATGCGGAAACCACAGGGAATGGCCTGAAGATGACTGCTGCAATTGTATGGAAATGAAATAACTTTTGACACAACTTTTAAAATTTCTTTATTTAACAATTGTCCAGGAACTTTTTGACAGCGTATTTCTCTTAAACCTTGGAGCAAATGCGCCCGTGGAAGACAAATAGCCTCAGCTCACTTGGAGTTTTTTGCTGTTACAAGATAGAGGACCGCCGCTTTGAACAGCTTCACTTACATTGTTGCTTGCACAAATTAATGGCAATACTCCGTGATACACAACACAGACATGGCATCTGGCAACTAATTTTCACCAGTCCTTCTGCTTTGTACTGATTAAAATTTATCATACACTGATTAAATAATTTAAAATAATGGATACTGCCATACAATTAAACAAATCAAATACGTTTTTATTCAAGAAACAAAACCATAACCTCCGTTATTACATTTTTTGCGGAGTTACGGATGTTCCCAATCGTCTAAGATTTATGATATTCCTAAATTATTCCTTCTTTATGCACAGAAGGCATTTAAAACTCATTCAACGTGAAATGAAGTGAATCTGGGCGTTTCATTATGCCAACATTTCTGATCGAGTTCCAAAATAAGCTAAGCCCATTTCTGAGACTGATAATACGTAACAGGGTATTCTAATAAGAGGGAACAATTTAACTACAGTTGTCCAGTTCCCAGTTTAGGGTGGCACTTTCTTGATCTATCCGTAATTATTTCAAGAAGCTTACTGACTTTGAGTCACTTCTATAACTAAGTCAAAAGCCCATCGTCTATAATTTAGTAAACCATGCAAATTTTCGCCAGATTCCATCTGTTTGGAAAATTACTAATCCTACTTATATTTGCCTACCTTCCTTCACAGTTAAGGAGAACGTCTAAGGAAGCATCCGAATCCTCACGATCTCTATTTGGTAGCACATTGTAAGGACATTTTCCTCTTACTCTTCTACGTCTAACATTATATGATACACAAGGGTTGGCATACCGTTAATGCCCTTGTTCCTGAGAAAAAACCGAGAGCAAGAGGGCATCGCCAGAGGCCTGTCCTTTATGGTTTAATATGAATGTAATTTTAAAAGGTGGAATTGAGGGCATCCATTGTGCCCCGCTTTTCATTGTCAAACCTAGGTTATCGTGAAATATGCTTGCAAATTAGTTACCGTCAGCGGGGACGGTGTTTTGAAATCAAAGGTATTTGTCACAGTCTCAGCTTACGTAAGTTGAAGCGATGGAGTGTCGTTTCGCTAAAGTTAAATAAGAGCATGCATAGACGTCCGGTGTCAACGCCTCCCGATTTTTGTCGTCCACCAATCTGCAGTCGTCAGCGTCTTCAGCCTTTGCTGCACATTGCTACAAAAAAGTAGATTTCGTAAATCCAGAGTTGCAATTTAAAACAGATAACGCTAAAACCATATGTTGTTTCATCACTTCATGATAAAATCGCAAGGGAAATAGAAATACGTACTCGGTCGGGTCTATGAGAAGACTTATGGCTTATAATAATTAGAAGGTAATGTTATAGTCAAATAAAGGATACAACATGGCAACAACACACTTCGGGGAGAACAAAACCTTTTGACAACTGGCTTAATCATTTACGTAAGCAGATATTATGAACTTGATTCTAAATGATTTTGATCGTATTACTCTTCATTTAACTCTACTGTTAAGAAGCTTAAAATGCAAATATAAGAGAACGGTAAAGCCTTTTGTGTGGCAAGTGTCCAATGCCACACTTTCAGTCTGCTTCAAGTAAATGTAGAAATTCAATTCTCACTGAAATGGCTGCAGCCAGTTCGTCCTCTGCCTCCAAGTCCTGCTTACAGACTTGTTCGTAAGACATCGAAACGATGGCCAAAATGATGTTGAGAAGGTAAAATGAGCCAAGAAAGATTACCATTGCAAAGAAGAACACATGAGTTGGTCCGTTAGCTCTTAGTACCTCAAAAAATCAAAGAAATGACTTCTGAATTATTATATGGTGAGCCATGTTTATCAGTACATGCCTAAGTGACACTGATGCAGTTTACTTTGATTGATTTCTTTAATCAAGACCACGAACTTCTCTATGGAACGGAAGATGAGTCATCGTTTAGCCATCTTTGGCAGTTGTGTAATTACAACAACTCAACGGCCATGAAGAGGTAAATGAGACCTGGAGTGAACCTCCAGAGCATGTTAGGGATCAGTGACAAGACATCAACGCGATCTCTCAACCAAGAGACCACGAGGTCACCACATTAAAAGGAAGCAGCCCATTACCTGATTTAAATTACAGATAGCCCTATCATTCAAAATCCAACACACGGCCACGAATTAACATAGCCTGAAGGCATTCATGTGATGATCTGAATTGAACCGTTTGTCCTAGTTTGGGCAAAGGGTGCTTAATTTGTGATTCTCTGCACAATATTGGTTAGTTGGTTATTATTATTTGCGTGTATGCTGGCTCCACATGAACTTTTAGTGGCCAGTGATTTGTTACCCTTAAAATTATTAACATTAGTCGATTCATGCATAAGTCTCAAAAATTACGAATAACATTGAGTTGACTCAAGCAGTGCGTTTGGCAACTCTGGATTGCCAAATAATTTTTATGTTAGCGAAATGACTATGAAAATATTAGGACATTATGAACTGAAAACACTTACCAGTTGGTAGAGGCTCTCCCAGAAATCTTGCGTAATCAGTCGGAATGAACATAAGAGGGCACTTGCAAAGTTATCAAAGTTTGTGTAGCCAAAGTTGGGGTTACCAGTCCTTGTCTGTTTGCAGATAAATCCAACTGGACATGTGCTATTGCCTTCCCTTAAAATAATTAGATAAATGGCAAATCATTTTTCATTGAGTTTACTTTTTTTCTTTTATAACAATACATCAAGGCAAAAAAGGCATCATAAATTATGAAAGGAAAAAATTATCCTGCTTTGCAATAGTTGTAATAAATAATTTGTCTGATTGAATTTGTGTGTGGCTACCAACGCGGTAGACGAAATTTGTGTAATTCCCAACACACTGTGATTTGATGATTGGATAAATTTAAAATTGAAATTCTAAACTTATTTGCAAACTCGAGTTTGCACAATGTGACCAGTGAAATGTAGCTGTCTATATCATTAACGTGGCGTTTAAACTGAAGCTCAAAAGAGCGGAAACATCAAAAATTCCAGTTGCTCAGAAGCCTTTTGCTTTAAAGGTCCATGCCGAATTGCTACAAGTCTCGGCATTAGGGAATCCCGCCTAAGTTCCAAGAAAGGATGACCGAATGCTATTTTCAGCCACCTTTAATTTAAATCAGCTGAGAGCTATAATTTCAGCGGATCTTTACACTAATTGCTTATTTCGTGTGACAATAATAGATGGCAGTATAACGTAACTTAAAAAAACATACTCTGTGATATTTCGACAAACTGTATGTGGCCTCATCCAGTTATCTGAAAAGTGAAATGTGAATCAATAGAGCAAATTTGTTTAAAGCAACTGCTATTTTTAGAGAACGTCAGTAGTCATATCTGCATGGTATCGAATAAGAAGGCAGCTGATTACCTAAATTAAAAGCAAATAAACAAAGCACTTACGTCGCCAAAACGATCAGGAATTTTGTCCAAGCTGAATACGCGTAATTTGCCCACATTTCCCGACTTATATTTAGCAGAATTACACCTCATAAAGAAATCATTTTGGCTTCTGACAGTTGCACTTGTAAAAATCCTAAGTCACCAAATGCTCATTAATACACAGAAAAATGAAAGGTTTTGGACACAAAGGGTTTACATCAGACTCTTAATCAATGGTAACTGTTGATCACAAAAGTCAATTCAGTTTGTGCTGTATATTATCACAGATCCATGTTCTTCGACTAAGGTTTCAAACCGATAATGCAAACAGACATCTAAGGATGTTGGAAACAGTCTAACTCAATTATGATGACCCAGTTTTTCATTTAAAATACTTCCAGAGGCTCAATGCAAATCACACCCCATCCGTGGTCAAGATAGCCTGCAGTCACCAAGACATTTGAACTTGTGTTAGGGATTCTCTTTTACAAAGCAAGAATCATAGCGACTCTGACATCAATCAGGTCCGGTTTGTTGAAAGTGAACTTTCATTTGTGAGGTAGCACAGTGAGACAGAGTCAATTCTGGTGTGGAGATGATGGCTGAGGAAATAACAGATGAATCAAGTACACAGTTATGGTACAACTCAGGAAACCCTTCATGTTAAAGACACCCGTTTCCTTTGCATCTCTTAAGTGAATCAGGGAGGACATTGTGGTTTTGTTAACCAATAAATCAAACAAAAAACCGCCAATGCTTTTTTTTCATTTGCAAAGGTTGAAGTAAGGGTCAAATCTGCTTTTGCAAAACAAGCGAAACCAACAGCTGTCGACTGAAAATAAGTGTTTTATTTGAAAGCTACCTTTACCTTTACCGGACAACAAAAGACTAAAACTCCCAAAGTCTTGAATGTTTCTGATTTGACTTAAAACTATTCTAAACCTAGGCATATGAAGTCTTGACGTATAGTCCACTAAAGCTGTTCCTGATGATCCAAAACTAAGTGTATGAATACACGCTAACTGATTTATGTAATAAGTAATGAAACCTTCGCTAGAAAGCTCCTACTGCACACCTTTGAAAGTAAACGTCGTTTGTAGGAATGCCCATCGACTAAAATTGAACTACGAAAGATCGACTTTGTAATGAGCAAGATGAAGCAGTGATAATGTATTTGAACAAAAATGTAAAGACACGTAGTTGGTAGGAAATATTTCACTCACGCTTCTGTTCGTAGAAATATTCAGTCACCTGCCACTGTGTAAAGTTTGAAAGAGCAAACCAAATTTGTGATGCCGTGTTTGCATCCAGTGTGACATTTCCGAACTCTGACGCATTCAACTTCGTCCTGAGGCCTGAAATTTTTGAGACGCAGAACATTTTAAATCACTAAGATAAATGTAAACTTAACAAACAAGTGAAGCCGGACTTTAATAAATAAGTAACCGGACTTTAATAAATAAGATCTAACCTTTTTGTTTAAAACAGGTGTGACTTAAACTGTTAAATAGCAGGTGATTAATATTGCCAAAGCAATGACTTCATTGCCGTTTGAGAAGAAATGTCTGACCTCACCACGGGTATGGATTAAAATGTGACGGTGAGGATCAGTTAGGCTGATGAGGAAATGCATTTCAGGCAACTAAGACCTTAAAGTCAATACAAGTTCATTTAATGGTGAACTCTAAATCGGTGTGCTCACTAGGCCCTGAAACCGTGCAGCAGTGCTGTCACCCTGCAAATACTTATAGGGTGGATGATGCTTTATGCCGAGGCGGTGCAAAATCAAGTGACCGATTGTTCTAGCGCCTCTTATCTAACGGTGATACTTTCTATATTCCTTTGCATGGATTTCGAATGTATCTGGCAAACCAATTTGCAGTTTACATTGGTAAGCATCTGTACTAGTATAAAACGTTTCTTTAGTTTAGGTTTTGTCTAGGTAGTTGAACATTAGCTAGTTTAAGCTAAAATATATTTTACTTATGAGACAGGTATGCCCAATAGTCACAAGGAATGGTACTCTTAATTCTTTTCATGAAGGTTTCATAGATTACCAGTTAAACATCTATCCGTCTTGGTCAATTCAGCGTATCACTATACGCGCGTTTACGAGAAATATAGTTCTAGAATGCAAAATCAAATAAACTTGATGTTTTTACCTACCCTAACAATCGTTAAAATACATATGAATACGAAATCCAAAAAATCAAATATTTCAAAATGGTAATTTAAGAATAGATCCGATATTTCACTAAATCCGAGATTGAAATCGTATCGGGTTATTCATAAATATTTTCTCCTGTGACTAAAAAATCGTCCATGGAAATGAGCAAAAAATTAGTTACAGAATTCTAGCCTCAAAATTCATCAGAAATTTTGTAATTGCTGAAGGGCAACTTATGACAAAACTATTGCACCTACTTTAATTGCCCTAAATATTCCCCAGAAACCGTTAAATGATGTTTTGACCATTTTGCATTATTGCGAATTTGCACATATGAATTTAGTGCAATTAGCCGGGTGTTACGAAGTCACATGACGAGGGTTGTAGTCGTGACACGGAAATAGATAACTCTCACTCAGTTAAAAATTAGCCTTTTGTTTTAATCAATGTTTGCATGGTGACATTGTCTATCAGTAGGCCACCCACGTTAATCGGGACAATTACCTTAATCAAAGCCACCACACCACACTGCATTTACTGCATCTAATTTATCGTACCAATTTTCAAATATCTTAAGAAATTGTAATAGTATCATCTTGCCGAAAATTAATCGCAGATCAGAGTAATAAAGCAGACGTTGTGCTCGATTGGATTGGCATGTCCTCGTCAATCAACTATAAAGTATAGCTTACGAAACGGACCTTAACGTACCTGACTTAAATAGGGCTTATCTCCAGAAAAACAACAGCATATTGCGGCCATCAGACGTCTTTGAAGGTCATTCGTTGCATTACTAGGTTCAGCATTTAGATTTTAATTGCGGATGGATTGCAGTTTAGGTTGTCTTTACATTTGCAGCAATATGGAAAAGGGATATCCAACCTCCGAAACAGTAGATGAAATTGTGTGATTGTCTTAAATATTGCATTCACATCTTATTCGTATTTCGTTCCCCTTCAAAATTCAGATATAGGATGAAATTAACGAATTCCCATGAGGCCCAAATTTATACGGAAAGCAGTTCGCCAATAACCCGCTTGGTTTAAGGTTTCTCGCTACTAAAATCCACGTTCTCGTATGATTTTGCACAATCGTCAGTGATTGAAGCAGCTGCGAAGTTCATCTTTGCCGTTAGACCACCACGAGCACGTACACACACAAACAATTCGCGGAAAATAAGATAAAAGTGAATTTCGACTGCTATGCGAGAATTTATGCATTTATCTGGCTTCTAAGGCAATATCCTATTCAAACAGCTCCAATACGATTTAATGGCCACGATGCACTATCGTTTATTCATACTGATTCCACTGACTCACAGCAGAGAAGAAAAGCCGCCAAGCGCGGATTTTTCGTGATCACCTTGTAATATGGTGTCGGTTCTTGCAAATTATTTTGAAACCTGCTTTCTCTGACACAACTATCTTCTTAATTGAACTTTCTTGTATTCTAGGAGTTCTTTTTCTTTTTTAGTCATATATATGGTGCACAAAGTTGCAATCACAAAACGCTTTTGAGGTGGCTAGGCGAAGTCGCCTTGCTCGAATAACCATCTACCGCGCTGAATCAAAAAGTCAACTCTGAGGCAACAAACAGGTTTGCAAATGCGGATAATACACTTTCAGATCTGTTCATGAAGACGTGGAGCCGTTGCCAAACACCGAAGATGATTGTACTTTTGTTGAAGCATCCAGGTATTGCGACTACTTTGGAAACGATACTGACGAATTCCCGGACCCAATTTAGCGCTGCATAAAAATTAAAGGACCACAAAAATGTACCCAACGAAGTACGGAGGAGTTGCATCTCGATAATTCAGTAAGAAGATAATTGACGGATTAGGCTAATAGTTGTGGGTTTGTGGCAAATTTAGAGGACGTTCAACAAAGGCTCATTATTAGAGGCTTGTCTGATCCGATTTACACCGAAATGATTGTCATCTGCAACTCTGCCTTTCCTCCTACTGGACTTCGCACACAGATACCTCTGCGTTAACAAGTAGTCTTCAAAAAAATCTACGTACATACGCATGCACACGCAAGGATACGTTGTGCCTTGCGGGCGAGGAAATCGTCTCCGCGTGGTTTTGGCACTTTTTCACTCTTTTATTTGTAATCGGGTTCTGTATCAACGAAAACTACGGCTTCAATGTAGCTTTAGGCCAGCACTGTCAAGGAATTCAACTACCACACATTTCATTTACAATCTAAGTAAATGAAGTAATTGGCAACCCTCTGCCATTGTGCCGTTGATTTTCTTCTTAAAATCTTTCAATTATTGGGAAATAGTCTGCATTTTGGGTTCACAATCGCCTTTTTACTACCTGACATCTTCGCTGCATAGCTTGAACTCGGAAAGCACTCCAGCATGTGGAAGGTCCACAAACTTAGGCATGGCTAAGTCATTTGACTGACTTTTTGACTCAACCACGATCATATGGATCATATTGTGTGTAGAGGAAGTAAGAGGCGTCAATGATTTTCTCAGCTACGTTACAGGTTGGATGTGTGCGTCATTAACTTACATAAAGAAGAGCTCCGTCAAGCAAAATTACTACAGTCACACTGTTAAGACTCACCTAGCAAGGTGTTGTTCATCAGGTTAATATTATCGACAATTTGTTTGATATCAGCGGTCAGTGTCTTCTCAAAGCTTCTGTTTAGTTGTACATCGGCGACAAGGTGGCTTAGGGCGTTGAGACCCAGCGGGGTGTCGTAGCCAGGCCAGGGGGTGACACACTTTCGCAGCAGTGTACCACGGTACAATTGCACTCCGATTAGTGAGAAAATGGAAAGCATGAAGAGAGTGAGCACAGCGACATCCCGCAGGTGCATGACAGCGTCCATGAGAGCCCCGATAATTGTTTTCAGACCTGACAAAAAAACCAAAGTTTCAAATACCTCACCAGAATCAACGGTCACCAGGAGCGCTCAAATCATTAGCTGATATTGATTACCACTGGTTTGAAAGGCACAAATTTTTTAAACAAAAGAAAAACTTAATGCGGTTCGAACCAGAAAAATGTTTGGAATCTGAAGGAGAGTTGTCAAGGGTCGAATCTCAAATTCCACAAACCAGGCCAGAATCGAAATTCGAGATATGGAAGGAGGAAGACAGACAACCCTAGGGGGATGAAACAGGGCTGAGCTGAACGGGAGCAGAATTATGATCCTGAGAGCGATTGACGATAGTAGCTTATACCTCCTATCGGGAATTCGAAAGACTGATTGTTAGATTGGCGGAATCCTATATGTCTAGCGATTTTTTCCTCTTCAAGCGGTTTAACGATCGAGCTTATGAAAGCGTCCACCCTAGCGTGGAATGGTAATCCTTTCTCTACTGTCGGAAGCGGCGAGAGTTAGTTGTGCGTGAGGCTTGCTTTTCGGCGACGTCTCCGTATGACATAAACGGGATTGAGTGGATATCAGTTTAATTATTGCCTCCCGTAAATGGTCAACGTATTTGATTGGGTCCGATCATGACGGTTAGGATGCTACGAAGATTCCCAATGTTGTGTCGAAAACCATTTCTGCAGAGAAACACCCGAATTCTACGTTTAGAGCTGACTGAAGCCCGAGTGGCACGGGGGGTGACACGTCCGTCGAATGAGACGGGCCAATGCGAGATGCTGAAGCGGTTTTCTGTGGGTGAAATTTTGGAAAAGGCTTGATTCAAACTGCCTTCCTCGATTAGTGGCGGTAGTGGTAGTGATGGTGGAGGGGACTCCAAATAAGGAAATCTAACTATCCATGAACGTTTTCGATACGTTTTTTGGCGGATATATCGTGCATCGGGTAAAACGGTCAACGCAAGTTATTAGGTAATGGAAGTATTTCGAATGCCGCAAGGGTCCTACAATATCGATGTGAAAAAAGTTAAATTTCCCAAGGAGGGCTTGCTATGCTTGCCTACCTTAGATATTTGGTAGCATGCGCAATTTCGAATCCACTATTGAATATCTCAAATCATGGCAGGCCACGAGAAACGAATTGAAATCAGGTTCTTTGGTGCCCATTGACGAGGATGAACAAGACCGTGAAGGGCCTGGAATACTTGGCGGCTTATGGATTTAGAAACAAAGGGGCGCTGCATGCCGGTCGAAATTTCACAGACAGTGGTAAGTGTGTATAAAAGCAGAGGAACCTCGACCAGTTTTAAGGTTGTCTTCGGTCTCCGGAACTCCTGTAATTCTTGATCGAATTGCTGAGCGGTAGCCTATCCTTGAAAACCACGTGTGTACTTGTGTCAATGGCGTTGATGCTCGATCGAGAGAGCACATCGGCTACAGTATTTTCCTCACCCTTGACGTGGCGATTGTCGGTTAAAAACTGTAGGATATAATCAAAGTATCGTGGCTCTTGGTGATAATCCATCGGAATTTCAACTAATGGCAAAAGCCAGCATTTTGTGGTATGTGTAGATCGTAAATTGCAGACCTTCGAGGAGATGAGTGAAATGTTTGGCAGCATTATATATAGCCAGAATTTCACGGCCAAAGGCGCTGTAAAGCTGTAGCGGACATCTTTGGAACCATGCGTAACAATGACAACCGGTTGCTGTCTGATCGTCGGACTATACCAAGCAGCAACTTGTATTCAAATTCCCGTTTAGCCTTCAAGTACCTGGTGGGAGAAAGTCGAAGTACTCATGCATTAACAGGGCTAACGTTTGTCGAGATTTTGTGCGTGACTCTCGGATTTCGTTCTGATAGTGAAGTTGCTTTGTAAGGTCTGGGTTCTTCACTAGTAAGACTGAATAGGGTCCATTTTCCACCTGTAATGTTGTAACCCGGGAAACAGCTGATGTTTTTTGAACGGGACACCTGACAGTTAGGTTGGGCGCTTGTTCTTTAGGTAGACCAGTAAGACAACGTGGCTAAGATAGTAAACGCCTATGATTGGGTGATAATGAAAACCCAGCGAAACTTGCGTCGCAGTCGAAAATCGAGCGTCAGAGATTTCGGGTAATAATTGGTGGCCAAGAAGGCTTAGACAAGCATGGGGGACCGTTTTTTGGAAGGCGTTGGAGGAACAACGGATATTTCGGCTTCTGATTCAATCAAGAATCTTGCACCAGTTAACGTACAGAACAGAACTAGACGCGACTAATGCCTGGCGTTCTCGTCTCCCGATTGGGTTGCGTGAGGTTGTGGCAACAAACGTACATTGTAGCTGACACTTCAGGGCCGCATATCAGAAGGTTTGGTGGTACTACCGCACGTTTCGAGAGCCAGAACGTGAATAGGACACGTGGTATTTTGGCTGGTGGATGACAGTTTAACCCACGTCGCGAGAAAATAGACGTTAAATCGACAATTGAAGATTGCAAATGATCGAGGTACCGTTCCAATGACTAGGAAAGTATGGGCATATTCGCGGTGGAGGCAGCGCTTGCTTTCTGGCTGGAATTTTGGTATATTTTAAGATCTGTCATTCGGATAGTCGAATGGGAAAGTTGCGATTAAGGAAGGTATATGTCGGGGTCACTAATTTGTTGTGACACGATACAACACGAGAGGCCCAATGAAGAAATAAGGCAAGAGAGAGATGACCGTTTATAGATGTGCGTGCATTCACAATCGCAAATGTCTAATATAGTAATTGACCACCATAGTAAGGGTGCACTTTTGAAAGTACAATTGGCTGATGGTCAGATGAGTGAAGCGGATAGCGGGGGAGATATAAGCACAGAACGGGCACGCTGTAAAGAGGGGAGGGCAGTGTGTCAGAGAGCGCAGCGACCGGGTCAATGGACGTGAATCAACACGATATACTGCAGACTTCTTGGGAGTCATCACCTTCCTTGATGTTCCACGTTAATTTCAAAACACCAGGAGCAAACGCGATGGAACAATATTCCTAGTTTAGGATTAACGGTTTATCAAAATTCCTATGCGATTTGGGTACATCTCCCAGATCTGTGCGTAAACGGAAGTGAAAATTCATCCTTCCACAACTACAAATGAGAACCATGAAGCCAACACCCGCTAGATAATTCAATGCAGTCGCTTGAAATAAAAGGAATTGCTTGGTTGACAGAGCAATTACTTCCTACATGCTCGCAACCACAATGCATGCGGCCTTTTCGCATTTGCATGCCTCAATTCTGATTTCTAAACTACCTTTAACTAATGGTGTCCTCATGTGAGTATCATGTTCCCAATTTTGTATTTTAAAGGCTGATCGTGTTCCTCCCTCTCCTCCAAATTTGTACATGATTCGCACATTCAACCCCAGAATACGATTCTCTCAAGTATACAAATCACCAGGCGTATTTTCCTAGTCGGTTCTCCAACACTCATCGAAGAGCCTATCTTTACTGCTGTAATGTGTTCAAAACTGCGCAATCAGGCAACATTTATAAGACGGATACAAAATGCAGCTTTCCGCAAGGAAGAATGAGTCTTTGAGTGAGTATTTAAGCGACGTCACTGTGGATGAGACTTGGTTCTCAACCGTATGGTTGAAGTAGAAACCTAATATTAAAACTGCAACACTTGGGCGTTAATCAACGTAATTCACCCAATTCTGGCAGCTGAGCCGCAATCTCTAATATTCTTGACTACTCAAATCATTAATGGACAAAGGATCGCATTGAGTTGTCATCAAGAAATTATGGCTCTCCCAGTTGTCTGGTGAGAATAGTCACTGGCAAGACAGTGTATAGCATTCGGACGCCTCAAACGATTAGTGCCTGAATCGACTCGAGAGCAGTGTCAAAGAAAGAGGACCGTAGGATTTACGATACGGCCCCGTAGCTGTTAAGAAAGGTACCCCTTATGAGTTCCGGAACTTCATTTACAGAAGCACATTCTGTTGGGGATCCACGATTCCTCAAGATTGGTTTCTGATTCTATTTACATTAATTTGCTAACATTTGTTTTGTTATGCTTTGTATCGAGTCAAGGTCAACCCTGACTTGAACTAGGGTTGAATTAGGGTTGTTCTTGTATTAGCCTGGGAAGGCCGGTTCTAGCTTCAGCAAGAACACATTCTGAGCCCGTCCACAGCAAGGAATCAAGGATTCTACAGGACATATGGGACTAATTGGCTCTGCACTAGATCAATGAGAATGAATATACACTGCGTCGGAGGTCGTGACCTAACAACATTCGCCACTGTACTTCCAAGTTCTATTAACATTATTTGCATATGCAATGTAGTTACGCTAGACGTACACTGAGGGCCGTGTGAAGTAATTGGTGTTCTAGTTTTCCATGTTACAACTGAAACCATTTCCCTATATAGACATAATTTAAATTAGACTAGGCCTCCCATTTTTGTTCTATGTCCGAAATGTCGCTAACACCGTCAATGGGTGGACGATTCGTGCAATTGGCTTCCCATTTGTCAACATAAGGAAAATTACATTGTGGTCTCCGTAACACACCAGAGGCTAACTTCGACTTACGAAAAAGAAAGAGCTGTATTTTCTCTCCATGAGTCACCATTCTTCACGGTAATATTGCCTGCATGGTAGACATAACCTGTACCTGATTGTAGTCAGTTGTTTAAAGTATACTTATAATCACTTTCACTTTTATGGCTGTCTTCTTCATCGTTCCCCCATAATGAAAAGTGACTCACCTCATCAGCAGGTGGATGTTTAAATGCTTGTTGACGAGAATTAGCACCACAAGGTAGACATTAGGGCATGTTCCTGCACTTTTATGTAACGAACGGCTTCAGAAACAGAGGTACAGGAAGTATGGGAACGGCAAAGAATTCTTACATGATACCCTTTAGCAAAATCCGATAAATGGGGGTAATGATTATTAAGTTTAAAAGAGACTGTCCTATGGGAGCCCCAACTTACCAGGAACTGCCGTCACTGTTTTTAGTGCTCGTAGGACCCTCAAAGAACGCAGTGCAGACAGGTTCCCCAGGCTTGGCACAACAAACATTATGTACCTAAAAAGGGAATTTTACGGGCGCTAATGATCACTTGCTACCGAGTTTCAATTCGCTCTAGATATTGAGCATATAAGGACTTTTCTCAACATTTAGTAATCAGCAAAATACCATTTTGTCGACATTGCTGGTTTACATGCATTTGTGATACGGAGATCAATTAACTGAAAGCGTGAAGTGTCCCAAATGCATGTCTTTGTAAGCCATTCCTTAAGAAAACGTGATATTACCAACACAGCGAGGTATGAATTTTGGGTTAATTTAATCTACATAATTAACGTATGCAATGTGGTTTTGTGGTTTTTTCCCGCCATATACTACTGAGTCAAATAATTAACTGCCCACTGTAAAGCTTTGTCGATTACTGCAATACACGTGTTTACTAACTAGCTCATTGAGACGGGGACAACGTAAGTGGACAGAGCGGTCATTAGCTCTGCTTGATACATGATAGTGATGAAAACAAATTAAATTTTAGAATAAACTGAGGTTTGTTTGACATAAATGAGAAAGTCTCTTTAGAGCAGTCGGTTTCTTCAACCATCAGCTGCGTGGTGGAAGTGAACATCCGTGTTTGGTATTTATGTCTTCAAACGCTTATGTTGAATTCCCCAATTTTCAGAGCTTTCATTCAGCTAAGCGGACGATTCCATTAAAAATTATTTTTGGCGAACCTAGGTAGTGGTATTTGACATACGGAGGTGATTGATCAAGGCCGTCCATGATTTGGTACGACCGTTTGATTATTTCTGTCATGAAGAAGGTTGTAATCTGAGGTTTGTATCAACGCATCCAGCTCATCCGAATCAAACTACCGTTGTTTAATTAAAAAACGTTTTATTTATATAAAATGAACACAAGCGAGTTGCTCTTAAGTTCCGTCATTTGGCTTCCATTCAGCACCTCATGTATTCCTCATTAAAATGATTCGTACAAACGAGGCATGTTGGTTAAATTTCGTTCCAGTGCAAAACTTAGCATTTCGGATAAGTATAACACGCTGTACTTTTGGGTGAAACCACTACGAGCACCGAGCTATGATTTCACTGGCACTTCAATTGCTAGGTTGCTTATCTGTCGTGCAATTGACGGTGTGCGGTGCGTGATTTGTAAATGGAACTAAAATCCTCCAAGGACCTAATCATTTGTTCAGAAGCATCATAAATAAATTAACAATAAATTTTTATGAGCTATTACACCGACAGCTTTCTTGAGGCGATAAGAAGAGCCAGTTCTTCGAAAGATTGGGTCTGCAAGGAATGAATGTTCAGCGAGATGGACAAAGATTTGAAATTTACAGTTCGGTCTACTTGGCTAGCAACTGACCCGGGATTAAAAATCGGACCACTTGAAATAAAAAACTAACTTGTTTAGCCAGTTAATTTTGGTGTGCATCAACGATTCACATGCCAGAGCTAAATCTAACCGGTCAAGAATTCGGTGACAACGTGTTGGACTGTATGGGGGTGACGTTTGCCGTTCCTAATTAAAGCCCAGACAAACAATAGAGGCTGAGTCATCTTGTCGCAAAATTGAGCAAATATAAAGGAATTTCTTTGAATTGACAGTAATCATCAGCTCCAAATTCACTTATTCATGAAAACACGTGAATTCTAGGTTATACCACCAAATACGTTTTTGCCATAAAGAATAAAGTGCTGATAGAAAAGCGTATTAATTGAAAACCGAAATTATTTGAAATTAAAAACGGCAACCACGGCACGCGAAAAAGTTCCAAGATATCTTGATGTCTGAATTTAGGCCTATAGCTTAATTAGAGCTTTAAATCGTGTTGGAAAAATTTGAAAAACGGTGCGTTTCATTATACGTGCGCAAAAAAAATTAATGTAACATGTGTTTTTCGCTTATGATTTAAGACCACTACGACATATATTTGCAGATTAAACTATGGAATAGGCACCAGGCAAAAACAACTTCATCCAAAACAGAGGAAGCACCAGACAGATAGGAACTCGTTTAGGTTAAGGCACTAAAATGGTCGCGTCAGTGTTAGTACCGGTGATTTAAATTAAGGTGAGACTCAAGGAAAAGATAGCATTGGAACGAAATTCATGACAAGGTTTTACTTACAAAATAGGTACTTACGCCAATGTAATGACAATAAAATCCAGCCAATTCCATGCATCGCGTAGATAGGCAAATTCGTTTAGAATGAGTCCACATCCGATCACCCGGATGACTGCTTCGCATGTGTAAAAAATCGTGAATGTAACCCTAGGACGAAAATCAGTTGATATAATTGTCACACAACGGGGTATTTGTGGCTTCTCACAGATTATTTAAAACAAGATCTTTTTTTTATTTGAACCTCTGATACCTACCCCATATATCTTAATTTTTTTCTTCGAAAAGTAGCTGGCAAAAGACCATGGAAGGCGTTTATTTGTAAAGGACATGGTTGGCGTTTTAATGCTACTCACGTTGAGATTGTTAAGTCATCGACCGCAAACAGACGTTTTCAAAACTATGGCTTTTTCCGAGTGAGAAGTCACCCTGAACTAGTTCAAAGAGCACTAATCGCTAAGTCATAAACACTGCGATCACCAGCACGACACTCAAAAATTGCGTCCACATTCGCTGATTGTAATAAAATCAATCCTTTTCTAAGTATTTTTCAACTAAGTTAACGCCCAAGAATCTCATTCGCACTGTTGTAAATTGCCGCTGCAAAATATCACTGAATTTGTTTGCTCTGGTTTGGGGTGAAGTTGGGCATCCGTCATGCAGTTAAGGGAATCTACGCAAATGAACTCGGTTTAAGTTCTTCATGTATGCCGAAACAGTAACTGATCGTTTTAAGCTAGCTTGTCACAACTCTAAAAAGGTAATTTATTCATCTACAAGTGGCAGTCTGCCACTCAAACCAAATTTTGGTACCTGTTGTCACAAGAGCCTTAAATTAACCTTGAAGTATAGCTCAGAGCACCAATTTAATCTCGTATTTTTATATCAAAGGACTGCATTTACCACAAAAGTTTTGTGATATAGATTTTGGCCTAATAAATACAAACAGTCTCCTGCGTTAGTACTAAACTATGCACACCATAACACAAAAATTAAATGTCCTCAAAAATTCTATCGGAAGATTCATTCATTTGGCAAATAGGCTTTAGTAGTGTAGTGAAAACCGATGCTTCTTCCCTCAGAAGCACATTGTACCTGAGAAACTCTAAGAGCTGAAAAGATTGCATCTAATATGTGAAGTAGAGAGTTCCAAAAAATGCTTACTCAACAACTTTGGATGAATCATTAAGTGCCATGAAGACGCAATTGACAAGAATCGCCGCCAAAACGACCAAACTGAACAATGTGTTTGAAAAGAATAAAGTAAAGGAAAATCTCGACAAATGAGTATTTGTATCACGTGTTCAAATTGTTTAGAATAATTCATGTTTTGTGAAAAAAAACTACTGTTATCGTGCCTAGTAGAGTCAACGGGAATCACTAAGTATGTTATTCGATATGAAAAAGAGTTTGAGACACCAAAATCATGTTTACGCGACACGTAATCGGAGTTGAAATTGAGTTAAATAAGCAAACTGCATGTACCTGTCAAGATTCTTTCAGGGCAACAAAAATGTGTGAGATAACCCGTGTTGAGTGATGTGACACTAGGATTGGATTGGATAATTTCATCGGATAATGAAAAGATTTTAGACGAGTTTTCTGCAAATTACCTAGTCATTATTATTGTAATGAAGAGGCAATGTTTGTAAATATCTTAACGCGCACACATTTAGTGATGTTAAATGCAGCACCACAAAATCAAGTACAATAAATGCCCTTTTCCGATGCAGCGTGTCGTTTTTACTCAGATTCCTCACAAGCCGGAAATGTATGAACCCCCTATTTATTGAAATCTTAGCAACTTAGTTTAATCAAAAACTTTAGAAGGATATGGATGAACCATGGCGTAGATAGCCACTCGACGGATCGGATTAAATGGACCGAAGAGGAACAGCGATGGGGCCAAACTGAGTCGGTAAATTGTTTTGTCTCCACCTATCACGACGAAGCTCTACAAAAGAGTAAAGCTAAGACTGAAACCTCTGACTTCGTAGATTCATTGGTATCAGGCAAATGAAATCAGGTAAATGTGAGCTGACTTTTGGCAATATCGATGATTTTCACATAGATTGGTACTTTTTATTTTAAACATCCATTCGTAGAAATAGAAATAAACTGACGTTGCAGCCTCCCAAAGTAACTTTTGCCCTCCTAAGGTGACAAATCTGTTAAAAATAGTTGTAAACTTAATACGAATGATCTGATACATATTTTGCGGATTTCTAAGTCGCGCATCCCGAGATCCAATGACCAAATGTTTGAAACGCGTGCAAGAAACAACTTTAAAGCGGACAAAATTTGCATGATAACGTATGATGTTTTTTACCTTATTGCACAGTAATTTAAAAAGCGCAAGCGTCATGTATAGCATTGTTTGTTAATTCAATTTTAGTGGTGCTTTTTCAGAGCTCCTAAGAGTTAAATTAGCTACTTTAATGATTATTTACATTTTTAGTCGAGATTGAGACTCTCTTGTTTGATTAATAGTTTTAGTCTTCTGAAATATAATTAGGAATTGACATCGGTACCTCTAATGAGAACTCACGATAAAAGCGGGATTATTTTTGGAAAACTGCACCCCTCCCCAGACAAAACCCACCCTTTTGTTAAGATAAAAAGGATCCACTTCCTGCAATGGTGTCCCAGTGTGCCGCTTTGTGCAGAACCCATTGGATAAAGGAGGCACGAGTTTCTTCCCCGAGGCCAGCATTGGGTTCGCCCTTTGAGGGATCTTGAAATCATCATTATCATCAACAGAGGGGACCGCTTCTTCGCCGTGAGGGCAAAATCCTAAATTCCTAAAAGCTACCCTTTCAACCTCTGCCTTTTCACCGTCAGAATTTGCGTTGTTTAGGGACCATTTTTTTCGCTTCAGTTGCCATTCTGAAACAAAAAAATCCCATGTTTACCTGAGATCACTTGGAGCCTAAAAGATACTACATTCGGTAGTATTCGAAACAGGTAATGTAGTAGTTACCTGCTAACTACTAAGCGGGACATTGTGTACATTTACTTACATAAAGCTTAAAATAATCGGGATCACTCCTAAATTGATAGGTGAGGCCTTGTGATCTGAAATTTATCTTAAATTGCACTTATTTACCTTTGTTGCTTTGTAGCAATTACTCAAAACGAAAGGAGCTAGCTATCGTTCGAATACCGAAGAATGGGCTGAATAACGATGCGGACCAAATCATTCGTCTAAACTTAAAAAGGGACGTATTTAGGGATGAAAGAACACCAACAGCTGTAAAATATACCTTATCACCTTCCCTTAAAATACTTGATTTGCCATTCATGACATGCCTTTTGAAAGCCTGAGTCTCGTCAATTCACCTAAGGCGACTAAACGAAACACTGCTTCAACCTTTTAGACAGGTTGTTTTGCTAGTGAAACATTACCAGTCCTTTCAAAAGCCATAATACACTAGGGCTCCGATTGGCTGCTGGCCAACCACGGATTTCAGACAAAACGATGTCAATTACAAGAAACTACGATTATTTGTCACCATCCCTTCGTCCTCATGCACCTGCATGCTCCACAAAGTGTTTATCAAATTTGACGGACGGAAAGGATAAGGAACTTGGCAACGCGACATTGCAAAGCACCTACCTCTTTTAAGGTCTTTTGACCGTTTTTCGCGAATTCTTTTCTGATGGTACCGCTCCACTGATGTTCTCACGGAATCAGGTGTGATGGGAACGAATTGTGGAAGAACAGACCTCAGCGGCGATATTTTGGACCCGGCACTGGATGACTGCATACGCCTTTACTGTGGATCTACAGTGCAAAGCAAAATATCCCATTGTTACAGCATTCCAGGACAGAATCGCTCTGAACAGCTAGGAGGGTCATTTCACGGACATTTGAGAGTACCTCATCTGACTACCTTCCAACACAGAATTTGGTAGGGTTACCGCCAGGCCTGGTAGCGACTGTCGGTCATCGTCAGGTGAAATTGATGGGACACCAAAATATAGTAATTCCTCTTTGTAGGTAGTTGCACTAACGCAGACTGGCAGTGATTCAAGTGATACGAAGTTAACCAGCCACATTTTTACTCGGCGTTCATATATCAAATCCAGTGAAGTACTCCTCACTAGTCATGAAGCGTGGATTCTGTTTACAATTTCTGATTGAAAGATTTGATGGCCAAAGCGAGGCTTTCAGCACGTGTGGGCTCACAAAGACTGGGTTGCACACTGAAAGACCATGCCGTGTGCTTCGTGTCTCCTCACTACCGATTTTTTTTGCAGTTGGTAGTACAGGGCAAAATTTCGTCGAATGTGAAGACACTGCGTTTCATCACGTCAATGCCAGACAGCGCGTCGGTAACAAGTAGTGTGCAGAAGCCGTTGCAGCCTAGCCGGGGTGTTCGGTGCATTCACCGCATTTAACTTTCAACCATTTTCGACTCACTGCTCAACCATTTTCTGAATTATCCTTAAGCAAGGTCAATCGATTTACTGGTCTTCCACCGGAATGTCGCGATGGACAAGCTGGCATCTGCCAGAGAGATGGTATTGACTAAGGTAGTTCTTTGGGTCAGTCTATCCAAAAAGCATGACATAGGAACCCTTTGTAGATTCAGTAACCCCTGGGCTGGTATCCTGTGCTTAGAGCCGAAATCGCGTCACGAAACACTTCTGGAACATAACGGCTTTCGTATTGCATAAGGCCATTTTGAGGTGGAAATTAATTGCATATTATCGTAATTCTAGTTCGACTCCGCACAAAGTTGCATTCGACCATGGGATTTAAATCCAGGTGTTCCGAGATCGGTGATCCAAAGATGCGGCATTGAAATTCGCGTTTAGTTTTTTTCATTTATTAGCTTGTTGTGAATCGCATTGGTTCACACTCGTTGATTAGACCACCTCATCCTCCGACACAGGGTCGCCCCGCGGATCCTCAACTCCTCCGCATTCGCATGAACATTTATCCTGGATTATCCTCAAACCTAGGTCTCTCTTAGCTCATCTATGACTCACACAGCTGAGGTTAAAATACACACACGCGCACCCCACACACGACAACGACGTCAACGTGGTTGAGCTTTGGAGCAAACGGTTGTGCCCACGTCCTCCCCGCGGGTAGTAGGGAAACACACTCGGGCCAGAGTTAACTCGGTGTCTCGGCGTGGTTCGAGACCACATGCTGGGGCCCACAACAAGCTTGAAACACTGGGAACTAAACGAGAAATTGATGTTTAAAACAGTCTCCAGTATGATTTCAGACATATTTATGCCCGGTTTTTAAGTTATTGAGCAGTCTTGGTGCAGTAAATATCTCAAAATGGTACCTCCCCATAAAAGGTAAAAAAGAAAGCGATATGTTGGGGATTTCACTTCATGCCGATCAGATAAACAACCTCTGAATGGTATGCACTTGAATGCAACTCAAAATCCATGGAGTTGACAATTGGTATAATTCGTCTTACAAATGTACTATCCATCAATTGCTTCGGTTTGTTCTGGAGATAACATTTGCATAACCGCGGTCAGTGGTTATCGTGACCATCGGTTGGAAGCCGAATAGGTTGAGGGTAACACTTTGCTGCTCGTGAGTTGAATTAATAGACGCGTGGGAGTGGATGAGGCGTACCAGGCCAACACGTTACTGAAACGCTAATTACCGGCCCAAGCCCCAGAGGCAGGGGAGGGGAAGATGGCCGTCAGGGGAGTCAATACGCGGGGACTGACCATCTGTCGCGGTGGGTTCGCAGTTCGACACGAAGGTTGCGCGAACGAGCGATAAACGTTCGCAATTATTGACTCCCCCAAGGGAAAGGTAAGAGTATAACGATAAAAGGATATTCGTGGCCACTCTCGCCGTTGTGCTAGTGTTAAGCCGTTAGTAAAGTGGTGGAAGGGTCTCTTCGCAAATGTAGAATTCAACCATTTGGGTTGACAGCCGTCAAAGGAGACTTTCCAGCTTATTGTGCAGTGACCTCTGGAAGGTTTAGTAGAATCCCGCATTCGTCACTTAATCTTAAACCTAGATATTTTCGTACAGGGTAAATAGCCGCACAAATTTCCAAATGTTCAGCATTAACATGGACGTGAAATATGGTCAATGACTGGTAGTGCATCAATGAATTAACTGAAAATGGTTAATGGCATAGCAAATGTTTCTATTACTCCTCCAAAGGGTTAAAAGTAACTAGCCTGAATTGTATTGTATTGTAATGAGCCTATAATACTCCTAAAGACCTTCGTGTTTGGAATGATAATTAGAAGTGGGACACATTAAAGACACTTTAGCTGCTGTTTTTAAAGTCTCGTATTATTTATTTCGTCCAGTTTGACATTTAATATAAATGGTTCGCTTGAATGTGTTAGCCCTCAGCTGTACTGTGCAAATAAATGTCATGTAGACATGCAAACCATCGAGGAGACATAAATTCTGCATACAATTTTTAAAAACACTCTTGTTGAAAAGTAAAATATCGAAGTTAGTGGCAATGCTTAAAGTTGCCTTAATTGATGGAAGCGGAAATAATTGCCCTCCAGAGAATCCTCGGTTTCACTGTACCTGAAATGGGGCTTTTTACATTAGTATTGCAGGCGACTTGAAAGTGCCTGCTTTCCTCAAACCAGTTGCAGAAATCTTAGGCAGAAATAAAATTTTAAAAGGTTTTCTCAAGGTACAGCAGCAATAGTCTGTAACGGCTTGTGTCAGCAGCATATCACCCAACCTGCTGCACCTAATTGCGAGATCATGAACGTATTAGCCACAGTTAAAACAAGCGCGCTCAGCCGAAGTGGTTATTTTTGTTTATTACTTTAATTACAGTCAACAGAGAACTGATGTCCAAACCTATAATAAACGCATTGTTACATTTAACATATATTTTTCTACCTGAGTTCCAAAAGGCCAAATTTTGGGCTGAATTTAATGCATACAGTAGGTAAAGAAACAAGTTATCAAGAAAGTATCGTATTGAAGAATCGCTCGGTAGTCACCTGAGGTTATACAGAAAGGATTTTAATAGCATATTTCCAGAATTACATTCATCAAAGGACTAATAAGCAATAAAACGTTCTTCTACAATAAAACAATCGCTCTTGCTGGTAGTTTGTTTGAATATAATTTGATGTAAAGCCTAACTAAGCGGAAGCGTGTGCGACTAACCATTGAAATGTAATACCTTTCAGTGCTAATAATTTTTTTGAAATTTTATGAATCTCTCTTAAAGGAAAGATAATGCATAAGCAAAACATATCCTAAGTAAACTCAACCTCGTGATACCGATCAAAACCTGGATTCAATTTTCTAAAGTACTTTTCTGGCGTTTTTTCCTATCAACAGTATGCTTTAAGTAAACATACATCAGTGTTATAAGTACAACACAGAGTAAGCCAACCATCGCATCTCCAGCTCGTTGAAGAGATGACAAAAAAACAAATGCAGCATCGTAAATTAGAGGATTTCAATAAACTAAATTTTGATTAGTCATGTAGCACTAGGAGGTTTCTTGCGCCGTAGTTTTGCTTGAATCGGTAAGAGTAAATTTACATATTTATTTGTTTTATATGCCCTAGTTCTCCAAGATTCGCAAAGTTTAAATCGAATCGAGGATCTCACATCTTTAGTCATAGTGGGCTTAAAAATAACTGTGGTGCCTCGATTTTCTCCCTCGTGGTTCTAAATATTGCGGCATCTTTTATACCTCCGCCGTCCAATCCACGAACACGAAAGCAACCCCTGTTTATGTTGTGTGAAAATAATGTCGCATAAATGAAATCGCAACAAGCCCTCGCACGACCCCCGCCTCTAGTCTCTCTTCTGCGCCACACATAAGAAGTGTCGACTGAATTAAGGGGGCGAGGTGGGGGTGGGGCTAGATGGGACGGAGGCAGGCTGCGCAGTTGAAATAAAAGCCAAGTGCGTTTGACGTCTCTTGATGATTGGAAATTGCAACACGCGCCACAGTATTTCTGAGCATTTCAAGAACCAGGACTCTGGCATTTCACTGCATAATTTGAAGTCATAATTTAGACCGAAATTTTAGATTTGTCCAACAGAACAGAGAGCATGATTATGGCTCATTGTCATAAGCCATGAAAGAACTAGACAGGATTTTGAACATGAACATCATTCGTTTTATCCATCTGGTAGAAAAGTTTGCCATTAATTCAACAAAATCATAATGAAGTCTTACGGGAATATCACAAGGCTGTCACACAATTATATCTGAACCGCAGCCTAACAAATAGGTACACTCAAAGGAAACAACACAACTAACGGCTATTCACCTTAAAAATGAAAAACTTCGGTGCACTTATCTCACAGCATGCTTCGCACCAAAGGCAGTCAGGTTAAAGTTTACTAACCGAGGTTAGATTGCTAAAATATGGACTAGTGCTTCAAGTAGAATGAACATCTTTATTTTCATGAAAGAATAATTTTCCATGTATCCCACTAAGCTCACTAGAAACATGACCATACCTTCTTGGAACTTGGGCTTTAAACTGTTCTACAACCACTCATGCAGTCAAGAAAAGGCGTAAGCTGGGACTTAGCCCTTTTTGCCTGCGCGATATCAGCAGAAGAATGTCAGCACCTCGTTGACAGCCTAACGCAACAATTCCTCCCTTAAAAAACGCCAGTATCACAGGCATCATTAGTAAAGTGGTTACTTGAAAGTATGGTGCTAAACTACAGTAGCCATTTATCTAAAACGTAACTGGCAAAATATAAAAAAACCCTTGACTTCATAATAACAGTTTATATTCTCAATGAACGCAATATACATTCACTCCAGCTTGCAGAAAATCGGTCATTTGTCTCAAGGACAGATACACAGGAAAACGGACATGTCTTCTTGGTATCAACTCGCACAAGTAGGCTGTAGAAACTCACGACGACCAAATAATGCAGAAAATTGCCACTTGTGTTAGGATTTCACCTCACGACAGCCAGGTTTGATTCTGCTGTTTCTTGGTTTTCTTACTAAGTTTAATACGAAATGGTTCTAACCAGTTTCTGTCTCAAAACAATTTGCCACAAAGCGTCTTACACCAAGTAAGAGCAGGTTGAATACATTCTTTCTAATAAAATAACGACCTTAATTTCTTCCCATCTACAAAAGCATTCCCGCATCACTACTACTCTGCCTTATTCCTTTAAAATCATCGTTGCGCCCAGGAAAAAAACACCTAACTTGGACCTAAAATCCAGTGTCATCAAGGCGTGTAATGGAATTTAATTGCAAGAAGATGTAATTAAGCTCTTACAGGATTGTTATGTCTGAAATGTTCACGGTAGGTTTTTATACGCGTCTCAAAGTTCTTACACAGGGGTACATCAATGAGACGAATAGTCCGCATTAACTAATGCGATGCAACCCAGGGACCATTAAACCTTTCTCTCTAATCCTACAGGTATTTCGTGGGGAGTCTTAGCAATTTTAAATATGTGTGCAGAAAAAGAGTAGTTTTAAGAGTAGTGTGGTTGCCCTACTTTCACCAAATTGACATTAAGTTTGACTTACCTGTAAACAACAGCCAGTAATTTATGATTTACACTTCGAACATATATGCACTTGAATGGATGACTACTACCTCACAGGACAATAATTGTCAAGGGTTTTATTCCCAACGCTGATTGACATGGGAACCGCACTACTCTCAAATTTGACACAAATAAAAAAGCATTTCACTCTTTTTCGCTGTTTCAGGATTAGCAGGAAGGGGACTGAATAATTTTTTTAGTGTGCATTAATGAAGATAATTATTAAAAGGTATGTTTTGAAAACCTCTTTGCGGATAAATATTATTTGCTTTTCATAGCCGTGCTACGGAAGCTTTTCGCTTAGAAACCTGGATATTTTACCACATAAATATTGACTTATTTATTAAAGTTTCGCTTTTTAGGGGCCTAATCACACTAACAAGACAAATGTGTTACATTTACAAACATTTGCGTAGGTGTTCTTTAAATATTTTTTGTAAACAAACCTAGCTTCTTTCCAGTATTGGAACGTACCAACGCTGGTCATTTTAAATCAGCTATCACAATTTTGGAAGGAAGGAAAGGCTTTTCGGCATGCGACGCACAACAATTATACTAGCAGCACTTGTTTGGGCAAAGTTGTTTCAAGTTGATTTTCTTTTTTCTCAAGACGAAATTCTTAATGTTGTTTACCTACTTCGCAAACGCCCATCATGTTAACCATTACGAATTTGATTTAGGTGGAGGAGAGTGGAAATGATGATAGAAGATGGCACTCATTTCAACGCCCCTTGAGTAAAGGCTGGTACCATAATACCAATCATGTCTGTGAAGCTTAAATCATCGCCAAATCAGTAATTTTAACCCAATGGGGACGCAGCTGTGTTAACAGATTAGAAATATGCGAAAGCGATATTAAATCACGCGAGTTTTTTAAATTCCAAAATTTGATTTCGCCGTATGTCCCTAAATGATCACGATCGTTAAACACTGAGGAGAAACCACGGGTTCAAAAGTTTCTTAAGTGATTGCTGAATAGTACCAAGCAAACAGAAGAAAGGATCTAATTTCCAGTTTATGGAATACAGAGGGGTTAACAAGGCGTTAAAAGATCGATGAAACCCCTCATTTATGGCATTTCTCTTCGGCAGACGAATAAGCGGATAGAATGGCTAAGAAAATCATTCGGCATTCAGATCCTTCGATCTACTTTTAGAGCCTCGTGACTAAGGTGTATAACGACAGTAATGTGGACCACAGTATGAGTTGTACTTTATTTTAAAAAAATGTAATTAGCTGAGCAAAATTTGCATTTCCTAATATGCCATTAAGCACAAATGTCCGCAATCTCATTCCGCAAATGAACGTGCAAACTCTTTAAATTATTTAAAGAGATATTGAAAGAGCTACTAAAAACAACACTAGGAAACAACGCAAAGTAGTGCACGATCGTGACACAAATTATCTGGCTGTTTTATTTATCGTATTAGGATGTTGGAAAACTAATAAACAAGTATTTCAAAAAAGTGCTTTTGGAACAAATTACGGGAACGTAGAGTGTTTAAAAACCAATTAAAATGTGAGTGTGAACTGTTTCTCACTGAAACGGATTCAGATGAGTGATGATGAACCATGTACCCGTAATTACACATCTAGACGCAGTGCATATAATCACAATAAAGCCATGTCAACATAAAGATACAACTGACTTGAATAAGCAACTAAATCCAAATTACCAAAGCAGACTCTTTCAGGAGGTGGTATCGGAGCACAACATGGCCAAATGTAGATAGGGGGATTGGCTTAACAAAAGTCACAAATGCACTGTTGGATACACGAGGAATCCAGGCACGAAAAAATATTACCTGGTAATAGGGCTGCTGCTCGCTTCATGATTATTTAAATTAACCACCTCCTCATGTCATTGGACCTTGTCTTTAACCAATCATGAGTGGTCAGCAGGTGTTTGTACATAAAACGAAACGAGTGCAGAAACTTCTTTTAAGAACTGATATGAGCGTCATGTCGGTGACCGTTTATTATCGTCATTTGTATGGATGCAAAATTTGTTGCATACCTCATAACATTATAAAGTGTCAGAAGTGACCTGAAATCCTCAATAATGCCAGAAGTTTGTAACTAATTAGGTGTGGAACTAGAGATGGCAATTTAGCGCATGTCTAACGCATTCTCGTCAGTGAAATTGCTCTAAGCACCAACGGCAAGTATAAAACCTAGCAATAATAATGCATTTAGGGCTTAACATACAAAATTGAACATTTAAGCTCACATGAATGAGCTACACAAAGAGAGCGTTTGAAATGTTTTACGTACTCTGTCAAGAAGATACACATCGAATTCATCATTGCGTTATAATTACAGTAGGTACAAATGTTTTGATGAATTGTGTATCACCTATAAAATCAGTTAAGAGGACTTGCTCAAAGAAATTTCACGTATAAACCAATCTCTCGGCAATGTAATAAAAGTAGCTAAATATAACGGAGATGTGGTTCGTCCTCATGATTCTCAGGTACATGTTCGTCAATATTTTAAAAACCCACTTTTCAAACATACCTGACAACCATACCCAAGCCCAGAACTTGTGTTAATAGTTGGTGTACTCAGATCGCATCAGTAGTATGAAAAGCTTTGCTAACCAGTGCACTCTGGCATCAGGTTGAGCGGCGTCAGCCGAAGAATGTTCTTCACCCGATAATTCGTATTTCTAAGTAACATCCTTCTGGTGTGTAGCTTTACCAGACAATCATTGCTACTGAAGGCTGACTGCAATCGGTGGGGCCGCTGAACGCCATCACTGCCACCACCAGAATTCAACCTTCATTCTCCTGGAAGACCGATTTGTGTTTGAAGTGTTGTACAATTAAACGTGGCATTACGAAGTGGACAAAAACGTGTATTCACTCGCGAGGCGCGATGCGTCATTGTGTGCGTTTATGGAGCACCTGCGAGCAGAGACCAATGAAGGTGAAGGTGAGTCAGAGATACCAGTCAACTCTCGGCAAATGTGTTTGGACAAAATTCCAGTCATACGTTTCCGCAGGCGGTCCGCTACGAGCTGTGCATTCCACGGTACTCAGAGTGCAGTTAATTCAGGGACGCAAAAAACAATCGACACGCTGTTTAGCGGCTGGGGACGAGTTCAAGTGTTGGCGGCAAGCCGGACTCAAAATTGCTGCCAACACCTCTCAGGAGGTTGCCCAGCTGATCCCACTTAATTAAGAACCAGCATAACGGGCGAATACCCCGGCGTCCACCGCGTAACTTGCTTTAGAGCGTCGCTTCAGCTGCCTGGGATTGTTCGGGAATAAGTTCCCACCACGCATACTAACTTTGTCTCAGTAGGATGAATTGAAGGGCGATTATCAGTAATGCTTCTAACTCAAAGAGTAGTTGCTTACTGAGAAATATGTTTGACCATCGAAACTGTTTTCGAATTTTTTTAACGATTACATTCATGTAGCACTAACAAATAGTTCGGTTTAACAATACAGAAAAAAGATGCGAAGAATTCCCCCTTAAACGAGCTATTCCTCAAAACAGAAACTGACAAGATGGTGCATAAAATTTGTATATTTGGCGCGACGGATGTGTTAGGCGCTAGAAAAAATAAAAGGTGCCAGTGAAGGGGGCAAGGTTCGAAGTTTTGCCTAAAAACATGTCTAATTGTGATGCGACAGGGGACGCAGAGAGGGCTGTATCAGCGGCGGGAGGGCAGGTTCTCGAGTAACAGGCGGTCACGCTTTGCTCGTCGCTCTGCCTCCAACATTTCTCCATACACTCGAACCAACAGCATGAGCAGCGTCGTTCCACCGAGTAAATACACTGAAAGCAAATAATACAACGGTTGGTTTTTGTGACAGTACTTAATGAATTTACCGACTACGCGTACACCCAAACGATTTGCCAAGTAAATTGTAACCTTAAATGATCTAGCTGTGTGCTACGCTGCATATTCTTGTTCTTCTAGATGAGGACACAGATTTCAGATGAAAAAAAGTGCCACCAGGATGAATACACGCAAGAACATACCAATAGATGCAATTTTGTAGAATTCGCGCGCTGGATTGTGCGAGTTCTCGCCATCCCAGGCGTCGCCGCCAGGCACGAGGTCGCCGAAACCAATAGTGGTGAGGGAAATGAAACAGAAGTAGATGGCGTCAATGTAAGTCCAATCAGGTTCAATAATCATAAAGATATAGGCCGGCAGGAACATGGTCACTATGGCATCGAGCACGACCACACAAAGAAAGTGAACGAGGCGTGCTCGCGAAGCACTGTTCGTCTGAAGTGCACGCAACTCGTCAACCAAATCCAAATTGTTGGGCGCAATCGAAACCTAATAAAGGTAAAACGTTGATTTTTCCGAAGAGTCTTGTTCTGCATCTGCCAAGCTGTCGGACACCCCTAATTCCAATGGGTAAAGATGTAGACATAAGTTAGATAACAGTCACAGTGCTAACACACTTTCGACCATTTTAACTGACCGACCTTACAATCCAACCAATAATTTTTTTAGGAACTTTTCATGAAAGTGGACAGTTCAACTAGAAGACGATAAAGAATACATAAGGTAGTAACACAACAGTCATGCACGCACGCATTATGTAACAGTGTTATTTAGATTTATTCAGCATAATCCTTCAATCAAAATTGCCAAAAGCGTCTGATCACAGGGGCGTTTTGTAAATAAATAGGAACAATAGATTAAGTTCAAAAAAGTACCGAAGTAAAAGTAATGGACATAACAGAAAAAGCACTTAACAACCACTACATCGAGCAAAAAAAACCCCACACAGTTTAGCAAATAGCAAGGTGTCGGAAAACACAATCAAAGGTATCGTATCTGGACGCAATCCTGAGTACCCGACTCCGGGTTGGTCAACTGACGTACTAAGTGGAGATTCTAAGTTAACAGCAAGACCTGGAGAAAAGAGCGACACTTAAGTAGGACAGGGTGTTGGGGTCCGTGGGAGGGGAGGGCATGCACATGACACGCTCAAAACATAAAAGACCTTCAGAACGAGCCAGAAAATCAGGTATGCGAATAGACAATAATCAGCACAATCAACTTGTATAAACAACAACGAAGCGCCTCCATCAAAATAGTCTTGAAGACATGGAGGAATGGAATAACATGAAGTCGACAAACAACGTGGTGGCGAAGACATATTTGTGGAACTTATTTATCAATAACAACCTCTCCCTACTGATTCTGAAAAAAATCTACCTGTCTTGAGCGCAAACCCAATAACATAGAAGCCTTCGACATTGTTGAAACGCGTTTTTGCCTTGTCGTCCGCTTCTGAAACGACGGTGTAATTTTGTGAATACCGTTTTCGTTGGCAGTGCCATGGCGCCTGTACATACGATGTGAGGCCTGCCTGGTGGCCTGTTTTCCGAACTTGTCCATTATGCCGGATGTGGGTGTGTCGGAATTGGAATAAATTGTGTTAAGGCTCTTGGACCTGCGTCTCGATTTCAGCCAATCGGGTTGAGCGGAGACGTACGATTCATGAAAAAAGTGAGTCACACTTCCCATGGAGGATGGCATTAGGCTGTGACGTGAGTAGCCCTCTGTTAGTTCCTTCTGCGGATTTACCCTGATGTTCGCCGACGAGGAGCCAATGGAACCACGACTGTAAAGAGATGAAAATCAGGTTCCCATCAACCAGCACGGGAGTAAGATCTCGTCACCGAGGCATTTACAACTAACAATCCCACCTGAACAGGGAAGGATACTGAGAGGAAAATCAGTAACCTTTTTCATCAAGAGTCAAAGCGTTTTTAAAATGCCAAACTAAAACGGCGTATTAAAATATTTTGAATTAATATTTTCTGTACAAAAATGACAACTTTTGGGTAAACAAAAATACCTTAAATTTGTCACCTTTATCAGAAATACATTGTGCTAAATCAATTTAATTATATTAGGTATGCATATAAAATTTGCTAGGATTTGTGAAAACAAGGAATTAACATTACCAAAGATGATTATTGAATTAAAAGGACTAGACCAACAATTGCCATAACCTGGCAGCTTTTGAAAAAGCAATACGTTTGATAGACCGCTCGAAGCCATCAAGAAAAATTTATCAGCTTGAACCGAAAAACATGCAATTCGATGTTACAAAATATCCGCGCTGCCGGTGTCAGATCGTTCCTAGCCATGGGGACTAAAGTTGTGTAATTCCGAACTAATTACTTGTGACGCATGATAGTTTCAGAAAGAGGTCATCCACTGAACGTTACAATATGAGCAGAGCCATCAAAACTAGGAAGCGGTCAAGCAGTAAACATAGACAGAAATATTCGAAAGTCTCCTGCGCTTGGCATTAAAACAGACGAGACATTAATCAGAAGCAGTTCGAACAGCACAATTTCGATGCAGGAGCCGTGTTTTCAGTAAAAAAGTGTGTTTTTAAAGGAAAAGGCTCCTCACATCATTAAATCACCATCTAGATCAGAGTTACAAAAACGGTCACTCATGCGCGTGGACGATGGTCTGATGTGGGGAAAATTGGTGACTGAAACAACCTGTCCAAGGGAGGATCGATTGACGCTCCAGCGGACCATGCATTCGCGCCACCGAAGAATAAGTGGAATCATGAGTGAACAAGCACGGGAGGAGAGGTAGAGCGTAAAAGGAATGCCAATACAGGCAAAGAATATGCAAAACACCTTGCCCATTTGAGTCTGTGGAACGATGTGGCCATAGCCTGAAGACAAAAGAAAAGTCACGAGTTTGCTTTCAGCATTGACAGATGTCAGGCGTTTAGGAAAATGCAAATTGGGCCGTATTGTGAGATCAAAAGAATATGAACAACAAAACCGATAAGAGCAAAAAATGTTTCGGGAGTCATTGAGTCGCCTATCCATCGGTCAATGTGTAACGTAACGACTGCAATGAGGTTAATTAACAAGAGACAGTTATTACCCTTCCTTTTCTTTGTATATCAGCCTTCTATTAAATTTACACAGGAGTGACCATCTAAGGGAAGAAACCAATTAGCCGTATTTTTAGACCTTGACTCTACGCTTCAAATCGCGTGCTAACTGCTCATAAATGGTCCGCATCTAAATTCACCTAAATACTAGCACGTCGCTCAAGCATCTTTACACACTATCAAATTACTGTTAAGGGATGCTCCTCACGGATCGGTGAACACACATACCAATCTTCTTTGCTTTATAAAAAAATGGACAATAATTATTTAAACAGATCTTTTATTAATAGTGCAGTAGGCTTCCCTGGGTGGTACAAGAGTAACGCAGACAGTTTTACTTCAAACTTAGTTCATGACTTATTGCTACCACAGGACAAGGGTGATGAGTCAAACAAAGCTCTATTTTGTAAATAATTAATCCGCCGGTGTTAAAACTGCAACACGTTCCAGCAAAATCCGTTACAATAAAATTTTGTGTTACGATACATTATGGCAGGAGAACATTGTCAGTTAAAATCATCTGCCTGAATATGATGGCATCCAATGTAAGTAAACAAATCTAGCGCTTAGAAAAGTAAAAATGGAATAATTTCAGCCGGAAAAACTCTAATCATACGGCAAAAAAACCACAATAGGGAAATACAACAAAGCAGAATGCCATTTAGGCAACGGGATATTAGGTCAGATACGCGACTTACACAACTCCGAGCGCTAATAACGTATTCTTCTTATGGATACTGTATTCATAGCATCAAAAAAAATATTTCACGAATGAAGAAAAGGTGATTTATATACATCTCTGATTTAGCGACTTAGAGAAAGAAGTCTGAAAACTGGTATTTTCAGTTCAATGAAGCATCCTTAATGCATACAACCATATACACGAATCACAATATTCAGGATACTTGATATGACCATATCCAACACGCAGAGAAAAAGCGGAATTAAATAGCAGCGACTCCCTACTGTTGCAAAATGGACAAAAATCGTCAATCGTATGGAGGGCCCAACGTTTCCAATAACTCAAGATTAAAAGTGAAGAATAATGACCACGTACAGCCAATGACACTGAACCATGCCAAATTGCGAAGTTGAAAAGCTACTAAGAGCAACTAGATTATTACGACTGGAAACCCTCATGCGATACATAAGGATAGGTTTGGGGAAGCCGCTTCGACATTGCACTAAATGCCCCAATAATGGCTACCAAAGTACTATTCAAACCAAGAAGGCGGCAGAAGTGAATCCTTATGAACAGATTTCTGAAAATTGTCTTTGTATAGAATAGAAACATCATAGGACGAGTTCCTGAGGACAGTCAAAGAAGATAAGCCCAACTAATTGCTAATGAAAGGCGCAGAAAATTTTGAAGTACATTTACTAAGGCTTTAGGGCCCCTCTTCCATTGCCTTGGTTGTGTTGCAAGACACGTTCATTGATTTGGTTACCATGTCCGACCACTGATTTGATTTGAAAGCATCGTTAATGGGGTAAAGAGAACTCATTGAAGCGTCCCTTTTTAGTGACTAAATGACATGGCTTACCGATGGTTGTGACAACAGTAGTACAGAAGAGGAGAGAATTCCCGAAATCCCAGACGCTTTTTATCGCAGGCTCCGATTCATGGCGAGGTCCAACTTTCGGTGAGCACTTGGTTGGCCCTTTTTTCTGGGATAATTTCTTCTTACGATTCGCTTCACAGAGGATGTTTCTAAGGGTTGTTGAGGGCACAGTTGATAATTCAGAGAGCACATTTCGTAAGTTTTCTGCTGCAAAAAAAAGAGCGTTGAAATTTGTTATTTGTTTCAGCTTCTTCCGAGAGTAATCTTATAAGTTGACGTTCATAATGTACACATTTGAATTACATGTTATAAACAGCTCCAAACAAAAACGTTGACGAGGCATTTGAAGTAGTGCAAATGTACAAGATTACAGAAAAAGGACTGGCGATTGTCAAGTTTTACACATGCGATCGGCTTAAGCAAACGGCATGCTGGTGGAAAACGAATTACCCGTTAAAATTTGCTTTCAGCAGTGAAGGATATCCAAGGTATGCAATAGTGATAGTTTCGTAAACAGTATAAATCATTACATGACAAACACCCCATGAAGAAACGGCATGTTAGACGAAATAAGGCATACGTAAAGGGCCGACTTACTGCTGGACGTTTTCAAGGTTACCCCACTGCCAAGCCTACACAGAAACGTCAGCAATTCAAGAGTGTATTTCTTCGCGATATATTTATAAAACTTATGAATTGTAAGGCCAAGTAGAAGCAGTAATCTTTCGTTGTCTTCCAAATTAAGCTTCACGATATGAACTAAACCGTAATTTCGGAATGTGACACCACTCGGGTGGTTAGGAACGGGTTCAACATCCCGAAGTTGAATTAACATTTCCGAAATGACCAGACCGTAATTTGAACCGGAAAGAATGGCTAGTAAACGACGGCTCTTAGCATCCGGATTTAACCAGCACTAAACCGTAAACACATCATTCGAGCTTCAAACCGCAGACATAAGTGGGAACACGAAACAGTACAAACATATTAGTCAGTCGACAATTTAACCTTTCGGCACCCTAGATACGTACTGTACCAGACAGACAATTTTTAACGGTCATTATTGAAACATTCCATTCCGGAGCAGAATTAAGTGTATGAGATAAAATGGAGCAAAATGGAGACTAAAGCCTTAAAAAAACTGCCCAACTTCATTGACCAGAGTACCTAACTTCTTTTCATGTAGTTTTCATTAAAAGTTAGTACTTTAAAACAACCATCATTTCTTTTTTTTTGAAGAAAACATGCGATTTTTACACTTCAATTCCGATTTACGCTATCTCAACTACACTTGGACGAGTTGTCGATGAAATTAAGGAGTCTCGAACATGACAACTTGCCAAACACAAACAACAATAGCACTTCTACACTGTTTCTTGAGGCGAAAGGTGAGGTAAATATTTGACCAACACCATCAATACGCCTGCTCTAAGGGGAAGATCAATATTCAAACAATGTGTATTGATAGGAGAACGCGATGATTAACGCAAAAAGTCAGATGGAGTTATTTGACGCTTCCTCAAGCTTTGCGTATAAGCACATAAGCGATGCAATACCTTCATACATCTACCATGACATCTGTGAATATATACATGAATGTGTAAAAAAATAAAATAAAATCAGTACTTACTCGAGAAACAGTGACAGTTGCTTATTAGATCGACTACTTCGCCACTGAGCTTGTCCACTTGTTGCTCCCCAGGCTGTTCCAGAAAACGGAAACATACGGCCCCGATGCATAAAAAGCATACGTAAGAAAGAAGGAGGATAAGAAATCTAACGTAGCGCTGCTTAAAGAAAGCTTTCAGTTTGCTCCAGTATTCGCGGTGACCTGACAATTCGGGGGGATCTATAGGTAATTCAATCCTGGGGGCGTCTGATTTATTGGATACGGAATGAGTGCAGGGCGGTGTTCGTTGTAAGTGATCACAATACCAATCCTGAATACCCTCAAACCGATAAAAGGCACTGGGATTGTGCCAAGATTGAACTTTCCTCATGTCCAAATAGAAGGCATTCTTTCGTTTGGGAACCAAACGTGAACACACTCTACAAAATTAAGTTGAGTAAGCGGACACATACGAGTAGCGGACGGCCGGACGAACGTACGCATGGCTACACTCGAAATTGGCATCGGATCCAGTCGGTGATTTTACAAAATCTCCAGGTTCGTTGTCTAAATTGTCGAATGAATCGGTATCACCCGTCGACACACAACTGTCGTCGTTGTTACCCGCATCATTGCAAAGGCGGTCCTGAGTTAGACCACCAATGTTAATATACATTACACAATGCCCGGTAGCACGATAACACAGAAAGCACGAACCAACGCACTCATAGGACGCGCACAAATCACCGCATCGGAGACTTAGCAAAACAATTCTAGTCTGAATTTTTTTGCCATTGCTAATAATGTGTTATTGATCTTAAGCGTCGTTGTAAAATTACCTTTGTAATTTAAAGTCCTCGTCATTTTACATCTCTCCTCAATGTTAGTAAAGTGAAAATGATTAATTTGATCTAACTTTCTATCAGTATTGGCTACTTAATGACATATTAATAAAAATCGGTTTTCACCCAGCTTCTATTGCTGTTTGAAGCGCTTATCGTGTATGGTTTCCGAAATAGTATTTAAACAATTTCTACGAATTCATCTTTGGGCGTTCAACATATTGTTGTGGACCACGCCGGGGCCACCGAATTAACCCTGGTCCGATACTCGCGATGAAGAAAAAGACTGGAGAGGACATGAACACAATCGTTTACTCCAGAGCTCAACCACGTTGACGTCGTTGTATCGTGGGTGGGGTGTGCGCGTGCGTATTTATACCTCGGATGTGTGAGTCGTACATGCGCTAACATCGAGACCCTAGTGTGGGGATAATCCAAGGTTAATCCCTAGCTTCTCATCAACTTCTGCGGTCTCCGTTTGGGCAATGTTGTCAACTTGGGCGGATAGCAAAACACAAGGGTTCTTTCTCACCACCTTCCACCTCTGATAGATATGATTTTAACTTATTAAAGTGAACCGTGAAACCTTGACCGGGGAATCCTCACGGTTGCGAATTACGCATGTGGCCTCGATACGCACAGAGTCAACTATATACGGACCCTTCCACGGGCTCTGCAGCCGTCTACCTTCTCCTGCGGTATTAGGTATAGCTAACCAGACTTGGTCACCTTCTTCGACTGGCGTGCTAAACGCCTATTTATCTTAGTAATCTTTGTAACTTTTTGAGACAGAACTAATTGGGATCGCGCCGTTTCAAAGGATATGCGAAGCTGCTGTCGTGACTGAGCAACGGACTCGGAAGAACACTTGCATTCGGCCCCTTGGGGTGGGGCTGACATAACACTAGCTGGTAACCTTAAAAGTCATTTTATCTGAGGCTAAGCCTGTGGAGTAGTGCACAGCAAACCTATACGCTAAGAGGCAAGCTGATAAAACCTCATCCCAATGTTGAAGAACACATTTACCAAGATGCAACCTTTGAAGCTTCTAGAACGTCCTATTTGTCCAATCTACTCGATTACTTTCTTGAAGGTGATAAGTTGTGTTGCTACTTCAATGGATGTCTAAAACATCATACAACTCATGAAGCAACAGGATTTCAACCTTAGCACATTAATCAGTATGAATCTAACATGGATCTCTGCGGCTGGCGACAGGCTGCGAA